TGTTCACGATCTAAAACATGCAGGAAACGTGCTGGAAGCAGTCTGCAGCACCAGGTATGTCAGCTCTATTTTGTCTTTTCCCCAACAGAGCGGCCCGCCAGGCTGAAGTTGCAACTGAAATATTCTGGCCACAGGGGGCGATAGAGCCTGGGTGGCCTTCCATTAGCCCTGTAAAGAGCCATTTTAGCCCATACTGGCTCAAGAAAATGAGTTAAAATATGAAGAAGTTGCAATATATTATATATAAAATAAATAAATTACATATAGAGAGAGACTATAAGCCAGTTTGTAACCATCTCTTACATCTATTGTCATTCTTAATAAAACTAGAGTCCGTCCTTGATGTCCCAAAGGACAGAAGAAGTTTATACGATCTCAGAAAGATCTGTTTTTTTAAAGGTGGATCAAAGTTTTGCACAGATAACTTTACATTTAGTTACTGACAGACATTTCAAAGTCACCTTGGTAACATCAGCTACAACTAAATTATGTTTTAGATGATGCTGCATCTTCTCAAAGAGCAGCGATCGCCGGCGTCAACCCTAAACGTGCTCACTAAAACATGATTTTTTCCAAAATTCTTTAACAAACATTGTTTTTCTAATAGCTTAATAATTATGTTGAAAACCTTCTGTCCACTGCTGCATTTTAAACACTGCGTTTTACTGTTTTTCTAACAAAAATGACCCTTAATCATCCGCTCTCCAAAGTTTTTAGGTGCTGCAGGCGTTAATGGAATGGATAAACAAATAAAATAAAACTGACAAAGCTAATAATATTATTAATAATAATAACAACATTCTAAACTGTTCAAACTCTAGCAAGCTTTAGCTAAACTTGGATCTGATGTCCATTAAAATGCTAATATCGCTGCACTGGTGTTGCTCGGTGGTGCGCTGAACAAACACAGATCGGTGTGACGGTAGAGAAGAGATGTGCTGCCTCAGCAGTTTCTGCTGGTACACATGTGAGGTGGGACTAAAAAATGGTGACATTCAGAAAGAGATGAAACTTGTGCCAAAGCAACCAACTCTCCCACTCTAACCCCAACCCACACACACACACACACACACACAGATAGTAGGTAAAACAGGAGACACTGAAGCAGTAAGAACACCAGGAGAGAATGTAAGGAGAGAGGTATGAACGTCTGCAGCATGGAGATAATCCTAATTTGGCAAATAAAACTAAAATTGACATGGTAAGGATGTTATTCTCTTGTTTGTTTTCCTTTATGAGGAGGAAAACAACAACAACATTAAAACTCACCTACGACCCTGTCTCCAGTCCGGATGCCCATCTTCCTCATGGCTGCAGCAAATAACGCCACATCACGCCTCAGCTCTCCAAATGTCACCTTCACAACCTCCTCCTTGCCTTCTCCTGGTTCACAAACACAAAACTAAACAATAAAAAACACTAAACTGGATTTGCAACAGAAATGTTTTACAGTAAATTAGGACTGGGCAAAAGGACGACAGCAACATAGATTTTGAAATCGCTTTTCCTCAGTAGACATGCAGGAACGGGTCGATAGAAACTTCAGCAGGTGGCGGTGGTAGATCTGGTCAAGGAGGAGCCAGTTCCCATAAATGTCCTTTAACAACTGTTTAGGACCATCTTGGATATCATTGCTGCCGCAGGAACAACATACACACACCTTTTCATTTTATTCTCAAATAGCCAACATATTGATACGGGCGAGATAAAACCATAGAAATAAACGTCATTAACCGTATATTTTCGGTAGAACGCCTACCTCTACATAGAGAACACAAAATAAGGGACCAGTCATGTTGACAGATTTTATCTAGTTAACATGGGACACGGATAAAGTAGCAGTGCAGCTAAAGATGTCGGGTGCCAGCTCTGAGTGATAAAAGTCGGGGAACCCACAGATCCTGAACCAGTTCCACCTGCTAGATCAGCCGTAGGGCTAGACCTACATATCGGTCGGCCGGTGTATCGGGCTGATGTTTATCAGCTTTTATACATCGTGGATTTAAAGTCAGGCACATCCCCCGGCAGCCCGATATAGTTTAAAGAATATAGTTTAAAGGTATTTTTAAGTTGACTGATAACATCTGCATGAAAAATGCTGTAACTTTATTTAGGTGCCTGACTTTAACACTGAGCAGTGCAGAAAGTTAAGATTTAACAGTTAGTTAAATTCAGAGTTCAGAAACAGATTCAGCTCGGGTTGGTTCGCTGGAGTTTTTGACAATTAACCCTTTGATGCATGAATCATGAGATCTTCAACCATGATTTTTTTTAACAATTTTTTTCATTCGTCTTTAGGTGTGAATGAAACAAATTTCAACAAATATTTTTTGTAAAATTTTATAATTTACAAATAATTTATTACATGTCCACCTCAGTGGGCAGCGTGCATTCTGAGCATGAAATATGTTGGCTTGGCTTACTGAAGTCCAAACGGAGGGGCTCAAATGCAATAAAGTCTTCAACAGCTGTGCTTAATAGCAAAAACAAATAACAATTTTGAGTACATGTCCACTGTAGTGACCTTTATGCATCAAAGGGTTAAAATTGCGTTCACATTTTCTAAGTTAAACATCTCTTTCAACAACGGGAGTTTCTGCATCTGTACTGCTCCGCTTCAGCCCTGGAAACACAGCTGTTGTCTACTTTATTATTAAGATTTTTGTTCTTCGAAAGCTGCTTAAAGATAGAAAACGAGTTATTTGTATTTTTTAGCTTTATAAACTGCTAATTGTAAAAAATAAATAAAAAAAGATTATAATTCTGGGAAAATTTGACTTTAAATAACCTTTATTGTGTAAAAAGTGCTGCTTTAACACTTGAACGCAGGTTTTAGATGTAAGATAAGAAACTGAGACAAAGAAAAACACAAAGATATCTGAGAGGAGCTCCAGTCAGGAACAGAGCCGCTCTTTAAGTAACAGTCCGCTGACATGCACAGCCTCCTGCTTTGTGACCAGTGGATCTTCTTACAATCACATTACACACACACACACACACACACACACACACACACACACACACACACACACACACACACACACACACACACAATAAAACAGGTCCTATTTATTACTGAGAGGTAGAAGAGAGCAGCGGTTAATCTAATTCCATTGCATCAACTGAAGCTTTCTACTCTCTCTTTAGATCCAAAATATCTTTTTTACATGTAAACAACATTCAGAAATGTAAACATAACGTTAGTGTTTCACACATACTTGCAGCGTAGACAGCCACCTTGTCCTGGTCAGCGTGTTTGAGCAGATTCTCGGCGTAGTTGAGTCGAGACCCTTTAAACCACTCTGGGACATCTGAGATTCGCTTGGACGAGTCTATCACCTGGAACGCAAGCCATGGCAATACATCAAACAGCTAATAATTTACTTAGAAGGAAAAAAATCTAACAGAACATCTAAAAAAGAAATGTGTTGTCAGTAATAGTTGACATTTTCCAAATTAGGTAAATAATTGTGCTCGGAAATGTTTGACTGAGTGGTTAAATGTGTCCTGGAAACGTCTCCTTGGACAAATATTGAGAAGGATTTTGTGGGCGAGAACATGTGGTCGGCCCGTTGATGTGTGTGAAAAAGGCGTGTCAGCATGACGACGCAGCATTGAAAACATTTATTTTCTCATTAAAGTTGCTGTTTCCTGCAACTGATCAGTGATTTAAAAACAGACAAGTGCAGATTTAGAATCGGTTAAAAAGCAAAAGGATTTTTCATTTCAGGAAGATCAGAGACAGACAGGACAGGAAGATCAGAGACAGGCAGGACAGGAAGATCAGAGACAGACAGGACAGGAAGATCAGAGACAGACAGGAAGATCAGAGACAGACAGGAAGATCAGAGACAGACAGGAAGATCAGAGACAGACGGGACAGGAAGATCAGAGACAGGCAGGACAGGAAGATCAGAGACAGACAGGACAGGAAGATCAGAGACAGACAGGAAGATCAGAGACAGACAGGAAGATCAGAGACAGATGGGACAGGAAGATCAGAGACAGACGGGACAGGAAGATCAGAGACAGACGGGACAGGAAGATCAGAGACAGACAGGACAGGAAGATCAGAGACAGACAGGACAGGAAGATCAGAGACAGACAGGAAGATCAGAGACAGACAGGACAGGAAGATCAGAGACAGACAGGACAGGAAGATCAGAGACAGACAGGACAGGAAGATCAGAGACAGACAGGAAGATCAGAGACAGACGGGACAGGAAGATCAGAGACAGACAGGACAGGAAGATCAGAGACAGACAGGACAGGAAGATCAGAGACAGACAGGAAGATCAGAGACAGACAGGACAGGAAGATCAGAGACAGACAGGACAGGAAGATCAGAGACAGACAGGACAGGAAGATCAGAGACAGACAGGACAGGAAGATCAGAGACAGACAGGACAGGAAGATCAGAGACAGACAGGACAGGACGATCAGAGACAGACGGGACAGGAAGATCAGAGACAGACGGGACAGGAAGATCAGAGACAGACAGGACAGGAAGATCAGAGACAGACAGGAAGATCAGAGACAGACAGGAAGATCAGAGACAGACAGGACAGGAAGATCAGAGACAGACAGGAAGATCAGAGACAGACAGGACAGGACGATCAGAGACAGACGGGACAGGAAGATCAGAGACAGACAGGACAGGAAGATCAGAGACAGACAGGACAGGAAGATCAGAGACAGACAGGAAGATCAGAGACAGACAGGAAGATCAGAGACAGACGGGACAGGAAGATCAGAGAAAGACAGGACAGGAAGATCAGAGACAGACAGGACAGGAAGATCAGAGACAGACAGGACAGGAAGATCAGAGACAGACAGGAAGATCAGAGACAGACAGGAAGATCAGAGACAGACAGGAAGATCAGAGACAGACAGGACAGGAAGATCAGAGACAGACAGGAAGATCAGAGACAGACAGGACAGGAAGATCAGAGACAGACAGGACAGGAAGATCAGAGACAGACGGGACAGGAAGATCAGAGACAGACGGGACAGGAAGATCAGAGACAGACAGGACAGGAAGATCAGAGACAGACAGGAAGATCAGAGACAGACGGGACAGGAAGATCAGAGACAGACAGGACAGGAAGATCAGAGACAGACAGGACAGGAAGATCAGAGACAGACAGGACAGGAAGATCAGAGACAGACAGGAAGATCAGAGACAGACAGGAAGATCAGAGACAGACAGGACAGGAAGATCAGAGACAGACAGGAAGATCAGAGACAGACAGGACAGGAAGATCAGAGACAGACAGGACAGGAAGATCAGAGACAGACGGGACAGGAAGATCAGAGACAGACGGGACAGGAAGATCAGAGACAGACAGGACAGGAAGATCAGAGACAGACAGGAAGATCAGAGACAGACAGGAAGATCAGAGACAGACGGGACAGGAAGATCAGAGACAGACAGGACAGGAAGATCAGAGACAGACAGGAAGATCAGAGACAGACAAGACAGGAAGATCAGAGACAGACAGGAAGATCAGAGACAGACAGGACAGGAAGATCAGAGACAGACAGGAAGATCAGAGACAGACAGGACAGGAAGATCAGAGACAGACAGGACAGGAAGATCAGAGACAGACGGGACAGGAAGATCAGAGACAGACGGGACAGGAAGATCAGAGACAGACAGGACAGGAAGATCAGAGACAGACGGGACAGGAAGATCAGAGACAGACAGGACAGGAAGATCAGAGACAGACAGGACAGGAAGATCAGATACAGACAGGACAGGAAGATCAGAGACAGACAGGACAGGAAGATCAGAGACAGACAGGACAGGAAGATCAGATACAGACAGGACAGGACGATCAGAGACAGACGGGACAGGAAGATCAGAGACAGACAGGACAGGAAGATCAGAGACAGACAGGAAGATTAGAGACAGACAGGAAGATCAGAGACAGACAGACAGGAAGATCAGAGACAGACAGGACAGGAAGATCAGAGACAGACAGGAAGATCAGAGACAGACAGGACAGGAAGATCAGAGACAGACAGGACAGGAAGATCAGAGACAGACGGGACAGGAAGATCAGAGACAGACGGGACAGGAAGATCAGAGACAGACGGGACAGGAAGATCAGAGACAGACAGGACAGGAAGATCAGAGACAGACAGGACAGGAAGATCAGAGACAGACAGGACAGGAAGATCAGAGACAGACAGGACAGGAAGATCAGAGACAGACAGGACAGGAAGATCAGAGACAGACAGGACAGGAAGATCAGAGACAGACAGGACAGGAAGATCAGAGACAGACGGGACAGGAAGATCAGAGACAGACGGGACAGGAAGATCAGAGACAGACGGGACAGGAAGATCAGAGACAGACAGGACAGGAAGATCAGAGACAGACAGGACAGGAAGATCAGAGACAGACAGGACAGGAAGATCAGAGACAGACGGGACAGGAAGATCAGAGACAGACGGGACAGGAAGATCAGAGACAGACGGGACAGGAAGATCAGAGACAGACAGGACAGGAAGACAGGAAAATAAAAACCAAGAAAACAAAACAAAGTTCTTCAAAAATAAAACGTAGGTAGATTGATCCCACTACACGTTTGTACCTGTATAAAGCAATACTTTATCAGCATGTAGTATTTATATAGTTGATACAGTTCAGATCATCTTCAAACCTCCGTCCCATGCCCAGGGGCGTATCTAAGCATTTTGGGGGCCGAGGCTAAATAGACCCCTGCCAGGTATTTTAAGTTGAAGTGCTACCTGTTTTTATATTAGACGTTTTATATTTGCAATAAAGTCCAAAAGTGAAGAATTTGTTATTTATTACTTGGTTGTTCAAACCATCTCACAGAAGAGATCTGTTGTTAAAAATTAAAATAAAAAGGTAATTAAATAAAAAATAAGGAACATTCTGGAACTGTTTCTTCCTTTTCTTATTTTTTTTTATGTATCAAAAGTATCGGATCGGGACTCGGTATCGGCACATTCTCAAAATCAAATGACTCGGACTCGAGGGCAAAAAAACCTGATCGGGACCTCTCTAACAAAAACTACAAATAATCTTTCTTCCTCTGTTGGGCTCACCTCCTCATAGGTCTTGGAGCTGACGACTCCACAGAAGCACCACACCTGGGCCCAGAACTCGGGGTAATTGTCCACTGACCACTGGTAAAGGTCGCTGTAGTTCACTAGAAAACAGAGAGTCAGTGAGTACAACGGGGTAAAGTTTAGCTCAAACCGCTATCAGAACAGATACAGCCGACCACTTGCCTTCAGGTGTTTACCGTATTTTACTAAAAACCTTTAAATAAACCAAACGATAAACAATCAGAGCTTTGTTCTCCACTGACTTCTACTCATCCTCTAAAGATTAGAGACAAAGAGAAATCTCAGTGGGTCTGTAGGTAGGTTCAACAATCAGCCATATCATTAGAACCACATCAATAAACATGTCCCTATCGCAATCCCATGTAAATATGTAGTCTGGCCACAAGCCATTGAAACAACTCAGGCGTGGGACAGAATCTACGATTGTCTTTCATACTGTCTCTGCACGCAATTGGACAGTGCTAGGACCAATCAGAGCAGCAAATCATCATCAGTACAGAAATCAGCAATTTGATAAGTCCACCATACACCAACAAAGAAGAAGCAAATACATCCTTTTGTTTTAAACAAATGACTCAACTAGGGCTGCAACAACGAATCGATAAATTCGATGAAAATCGATTACTAAAAGCGTTGGCAACGAATTGCGTCATCGATTCGTTGTGTCGCACAACTCTTCCAAAAGCGCCCCCCCCCCCCCCCCCCTCCCGAATCCCGCCCGCCGTTGCGCGCAGACCAGAGCAAAAGTCAGATCAGCACGAGGGAGAGCCGCAGATCAGCGCAAGGGAGAGCCGCAGATCAGCACGAGGGAGAGCCTCAGATCAGCGCGAGGGAGAGCCGCAGATCAGCACGAGGGAGAGCCGCAGATCAGCGCGAGGGAGAGCCGCAGATCAGCGCGAGTGAGAGCCGCAGATCAGCGCGAGGGAGAGCCGGCAGATCAGCGCGAGGGAGAGCCGCAGATCAGCGCGAGGGAGAGCCGCAGATCAGCGCGAGGGAGAGCCGCAGATCAGCGCGAGGGAGAGCCGCAGATCAGCGCGAGGGAGAGCCGCAGATCAGCGCGAGGGAGAGCCGGCAGATCAGCGCGAGGGAGAGCCGCAGATCAGCGCGAGGGAGAGCCGGTAGCGGCAGATCAGCGCGAGGGAGAGCCGGTAGCGGCAGATCAGCGCGAGGGAGAGCCGCAGATCAGCGCGAGGGAGAGCCGCAGATCAGCGCAAGGGAGAGCCGCAGATCAGCGCGAGGGAGAGCCGGTAGCGGCAGATCAGCGCGAGGGAGAGCCGCAGATCAGCGCAAGGGAGAGCCGGTAGCGGCAGATCAGCGCGAGGGAGAGCCGGTAGCGGCAGATCAGCGCGAGGGAGAGCCGCAGATCAGCGCGAGGGAGAGCCGCAGATCAGCGCAAGGGAGAGCCGCAGATCAGCGCGAGGGAGAGCCGGTAGCGGCAGATCAGCGCGAGGGAGAGCCGCAGATCAGCGCAAGGGAGAGCCGGTAGCGGCAGATCAGCGCGAGGGAGAGCCGCAGATCAGCGCAAGGGAGAGCCGGTAGCGGCAGATCAGCGCAAGGGAGAGCCGGTAGCGGCAGATCAGCGCGAGGGAGAGCCGCAGATCAGCGCGAGGGAGAGCCGGTAGCGGCAGATCAGCGCGAGGGAGAGCCGCAGATCAGCGCAAGGGAGAGCCGCAGATCAGCGCGAGGGAGAGCCGGCAGACTTGCGCTGCTGCAAACCGGTTCCGCATTGTTGCACAGCGATCCAGGCAGCTGCTTCCAGCGCACGGTCCATTCTCAAAGTGGCGCAACCAAAAAACTATAATTAGCACACGATCGTTCTTGTCTGCACATGTTCTCTATTTTCTGTCTTATTTGTGCCTGAAGCTCGCTACTGCGGAGCTCATCACCTGTGCTGTGGTGATTTCACCTCACGCAGCATCGAAAACACGCTCTGCGCTTTTCGGTCAGGAGATCCCTTTGATCTGCTCAAAAGTAACTGATGAGGTGAAAAGGTAAGAATCCAGGCAACAGATTTTCTGGAGAATTAAGAGGAGATGCAGGAAGATGAGAGACAGACAGGACAGGAAAATAGTTCAATAAAAACAAAAAAACAATCAATCAATCAATCAATCAAAGCTTTATTTATAAAGCGCCTTCCGCAACCCTGTCAGGAAGCCCAAAGCGCTGAAAGTGAAACAAAGCGCTGAAAACAAAGTGTTGAAAAGTAAAATGTAGGTAGATTTATCTGCACTACACGTTTTTACCAGTAAAAAACAATAAGTTATACACATGTCATATTTATACATCTGATACAATTCAGATCACCTTCAAAACTCAGTCACACACCCAGGGCCGTTTCAAGACATTTTGGGGGCCAAGGCAAAATGACCCCCCCCCCCCCCCCCAATAACTGGGCTCCCCAGAAGCCTCTGTGTAATCCATACCCTCTCCAGTAGTGTTAGTTATATGGTGTTTATAAAAGCCCCTCAGACATTACTGACATGTTCTAATATTATCAGATGAAAAACTAAATTATCAGACATGCTGTCTCATCTGCTTCTTTTATAAACTTGCAAAAAGTAACAAAACCATTTGAAAGCCACTATTTGTGGATTCTCTGAAAGTTTCCATGGAGTGTGTGACAACTTATGTTTTCATTGATCCTATCGTCTAATCTCACAGCTGAAACAAGCATCCTTAATAATCTGTGCACAGGAAGCGTACCGATGCTGTAGTAAAACAAAAGGTATAATAATTTATTATTAATAAAACCTTGTTGCAGAACTAAAGCAGAAAAATTAGATTTTGCATTAAATATGCAAAATATTTACATATGAATTGTTTTAGAGCCCTTTAATTGGCAGAATCTGATATTAATTTAGTTCTTACAAAAAATGGGTCCCAACATGGTTTGTGTGACGTTGCCATAGTGTGACGTCATAGGCACAGATCCCCTGTCCTCTTGTTTGGAAATGGAAATATGATCACCCTACATTAAACAAACTGTCCACCCGGGCTTTTGCACTGCACAGAGACGCTTCGCTGCCTATGACTCTGAACGTCAGTTGAGAGTCAGTCTCATGCAGACTGACCAATGAAGAGAGGGCCTCAAGTTAAGACCCTCTCCTCATTGGTCAGTCCACACGAGGTGGGTCAAAGGTTACTCTGGGCGGGTTACGTGTTGTCAGGCATTCAAGTATTGAGTATATTTACTGCATATTACAGTAAAATATTCTGTATGTGACCACATTATGGTGATCCTTGGGTCGTGATGATGGAGCCCTTGAATATTGTTGCCCAGGGTACAACAAAGTGTTAATCTGGCCCTGGTTCCGCCGTCACATTCCCGCAGAAACTGGTTGATCACACCGGGGCCAGACTACTAGCATGTGGCTTTACAACCACAATGTCCTCGGAAGCAAAAACGCTTTTAAAAGGGAGGGAGGAGTCCTAACTGTTGCTGCAGGCGTGTTGTGTGAGAGTGCAGTTATATACTGGTTAATATATTTTTGGGTTCAGTTGCTTTCATGTGGCCTAATGTGAGTCTATTTGGGATCATTGGAATGATCAGCAGCATTTCTTGATGTGACTTTATGGCAGTTGCCCAGGGCATCATCGCAAGGAGGATGGCATTCATTTACTTTTGTTTTATTTGGTATTTTTTCAGTCATTTTTGGAAATAGTGATCAATTTTGATTAATTCACAGCCTATGTTTAATTACATTTAAAATATATGTCAACAGATGAGATCAAACAAAACAGATGAGAATTGCCCTTAAGCTGTTTAACTTGGACCAAGCATTTTAGGTCACAGATAGATGTAGCTTAGGGTCTCTGTCTATACACCTTATAAGACAATTTAGGTGATGGCATGTTGTTTTTCTGCTATTGAACTGTTTTCTAATAATGTTGTGTTAAATAAAGTGAAGGAAGGAGAGAAATAACGTTTCCCTAGCAGTTTTTAAAAATTTCCCCATGTAATCCGATTAATCGATTAATCGTGTCGAGACCCCATCCGATTAATCGATTATCCAAATAATCGTTTGTTGCAGCCCTAGACTCAACTACGTCCATGTCTCAAATAAAAGCTCAAGTCTAAATCACTCAAAGCAGGAAAATCAATTAAAAATAATTTAAAGAAAAAAATGAGAGAAAATGAAAAAATGGAAAATAAAGAAAAGGAAAAAAGAAAAAAAAGAAGAAAATAGAAAAAAAGACAAAATAAATAAAAAAATAAAAAGAAGGAAAAATAAAATAAAAGAGAAAAAAGATAAGTCCACCATAAACCAACAAGGAAGAAGAAGCAAATATATCCTTAAAAAAAAAGACTCAACTACGTCCATGTCTCAAATAAAAGCTCAAGTCTAAATTGTTCGAAGCTGATGCTCAAGTCGTTTTAATTGAGCAGACGCCATCTTTGTAGTTTTTCTCCATCACAGCTCTGGTGCTAAGCCCAAGCTTTATAATAAGTATATAATAAGTATTTTCAACTGAGTTGTTTGCTTTGTAGCACACCTTAAGGTGACGTGTTGTGAATTGGAACTAAGCAATTAAACTGAATTGAATGACTGCCTAGCATAAGTACAGTGTATAACCGACCTGTTTTACTCATATACTCCTTGTTGTTATGGGAACACAGCAACATATGTCTCAGTTGTAGGATAATAAAGATTCATTCAATTCAGTTTTATTACTGATATCAATTTTTGTGTTACGATACTGAATTTATATTTAAAAGCAGTGTATTGATTTATTTTTATATGCAAACGTTGAATGTGTTTCATGCGTGGTGCAATTCCAACTCCGACTGCTAGGTTGCAGCAGCTTTTACCGCCTTTACCACCCAGATGTGTACAGGAAGCATCTGGCCATAGACTTATAATTAAGTTCAGTTTAATTACAACATTACAGATATTTTCTAGCCTTTACTGTTGCTGGAAACTGCCAAAAGCATTGAAGACATTTCCAGCAGAAAGGTGTCAGAAACCCAATGAAGGTTTGTTTAAACCTGTATCCATGGCAGGAGGGGATAGAGCTGGAGGAAAAGGTAAACCTGCAGGGGCAACATCAAGCTTTCAGGGATATTTAATCAGAATGACATTTACTCTCTGCAACACCTTGTGAGTATTAATGAAACATAAAAAACACCTGAAGAATACAAATAAAAGGAGACTGAGGAGCCAGAAGCATCAAATTTAAGGCAAAACGTAACTAAAGTTCTGAAATGAACAGAAACTAGATTATTGCTCTTCAGTGGTAAGGAGTTCAGAGATCCGATGGCCTTAAGGGGGAGACAGTTAGTTCCACTTTTAAGTCAAAAAGAGTTTTAAATGTTTATTTAACCTTCAAATCCTTTAAAGAAACTATGGAACAAAAGAAAATCTAATCTATTAGGCTGTTACTGGTAACTTTGCACCAGTGCCTGTAAAGGTCAGGTTGTTTTTGGAATTGATAAAACGTGTTTTAGCTGCTCGAGGTCCACCAAGTGCCAGCAATGGAAATGCAGATGTGGCCTGCAGGGACTCCATCTCCAGCTTTGGTTTAAAACATCCTCTCCTACTTGCTGGTGCACATTCATCACTCATCCATGGTCATGCTAAAACAGTAGTAAAGAGGACAGCTGGACTGGAAACGCTTTGTGGTTCTGGATGTTTAGTGCAGAAACCTTCCTTATGATGGGACTAAACGCATTAGGCATTTACACTTATATTCATAACTGCACCCTGTTTTAAATGCCTCAGGAACATCTGATGGATAGATAGAAGAGGATAGATCAGCACGTTCTTCTGCATTCCACCGAGCAGCGGCAGTGTGTAACAAAAACATGCTATCTCTCAGGCTAGCAGCTCTGCAGGCTGGGAAGCTTGGTAATGATTATTCACAACAATCAGGCCAAACCGGAGTGGTAAATGGTTCATTGCTGCTGAAGAAGGAGCGATAAAGGGATCGGAAGGCGTGCTAATGCTAGTGCAGAGATGTCTGGTGTTTGTGTTTAGCAGCCAGGTCCCAGCGCTGCATGCAGGTTCATAATGGTAATAATAAGCTGGTGGAGGGAGCCACTAACCAGCTCAGTGAAATCCCTTCAACGCCCCCTCTCCTCTCCTCTTCACTCACCCAGATTAAGCCCGTAGTCCGCGTTGACCTGCATCCTAAACTTGTCCATCTGTGTATTCCTCTTGGAGTCCGGATACCACAACACTTTGGTGTCCATATCCATTATTTTCTCGCTCTTCCCTTCCGTGTCTTTGGACATCCTTGTTGCGTCCTTCTGGCGGCTGCGAAACACTAATAAACAAGCCCGTAGAGCTCCTAGCAAAGGTCGGCTGCTCCTAGAAGGGGGAGCCGATAACTCTTGTGAGCGAGACGGCTAGCTTGCCTGGTTTGAACTGCATGGGACAACATGCGCGAGACTCCGCTAGATGGGCGTGGCGTGGGGCTGCCCACAAAACAGAAAGGCCACGCCCTGGCGTCATGACGTACAGTTGCGTACAAGTGTTCAAGATCAACAATGTTCAACACTGTTGCCAAAAGGATCGGACGACCTCACCAGTAGAGAACAAAACTCTCAGCCGCATGAATGATAAATAATTATGAGAATGTGAAACGCGCGTGCAACAAAATTATTCATCTGCTGTAATAATGAACAATACATTTTATCAGAATGAAATTAAATAAATGTCTTAGGCAAATATCAGGGAACTTGAAGAGATGTTCAAGTTGTTTATGCAAAGGAGAAATTATATGTGATGTTAGTTAACTAAAATAATATCATTTTTCTTTTATTTAATTTTTTAAGAGGGCAGAACTCTTTATTATATTGGTTTACACTGATATCGCAAATTACCAGTTAAGAGACTATAGATATCTGCAATAAAGCCGATATCGAACACCGATACTTGAACATTTTTAAAGGCTCAAACAAACGCCGCATTGCAGATATATTGCCATATTATTTTTCAATCAGAAATTTATGCAAACTGGGTGTACTCAATATGACTCACTTTGCAGCTAATAATACAGTTGATCTCAGTTGCTTTGGTGCATTTCTCACAACAGAATTAAACTTTGCACAACAGTTAGTTCAACCTCCACAACATGTAGTCGTTTTGGCACAACCTAGTGGCGGTTTCATGTTCATTTCATCCAAAGACATGTATGCAGTTAAGTACAAATATCTAAAGAATGGTCACTTTTGACTTGCTATTCATCACTATCTCCTTGCTTTTATCATGAATGTCACAATTATTTATACTTGTACCGGCTGAATAGTCATTGTCCTTACAACTAATAGTCTTCCATGCTTTCGTTCTTTTTAAACATAGAAACAGTTTTGTTTACCTGTTTTATAGCTACAGTTTTGCAGACGGCTGCCGGCTTCTTCAGGCTGATGCTGAATAGTCTTCATTTCACTGCTCGTGTCATTTCACTCAAAACTGTTGAACATCTTGTCGAACACTTTGTACACCCATTTTGAAAACCCTATTTTAAAGGAGTTTCCATGGAAATCTCCATAGATTACTTTTCTCAGGTGAACCTTATCTCACACTAATGAAAACTGGTGTGTGTCCTGGTAACAATCGGACAATGTATGTAGTGGTTTGGGATAATGTTAGCTTCCATCACTCTGCTGTAGTCAGGCAGTGGTTTGCAGCACACAACAGGATGCTTATGGAGTTTCTTCCTCCTTACACTCCATTCCTCAATCCAGTTGAGGAGTTTTTGTCTTCCTGGAGGTGGAAGGTAGATGACAGGCTTTCACATACCCAAATGGCCCTGCTAGCAGCTATGAATGCAGCTTGTGATGACATCACAGCAGAGTCCTGCAGAGGGTGGATTCGGCACTCCAGAAGATACTTTCCCCGATGCATCGATAGAGCTGACATTCGCTGTGATGTTGATGGAAATATGTGGGCAGACAGACGGGAGCGTGTAGATATCAATGACTGATATGCAGCAGTGTCTGTTCAGGTTTTGTTTCATAACTACTGCAGTAAGGTTTACTGTCTAAGTGAGTTTATGTTTACTGTAAAATGTTTGTTTTACTGTATTTCCCCAGTTGCACAATGCTGTGAACAGTTTTAATTAAATATTATCAAGAGTGCATATGAAGTGTCTTGATTTTCCTTTATAATTTATGGTTTTCAACATGCATGCATGCTGTCCAGACTTGACATGTCACTGGGAAGCACCCACAAAGAAATCCGTCACAATGAGAACATGTTCAGACCATTTGATTTTGTGACCAGCACCTTTGGTCACAAAATCACAAAATTGTAATTGTGACAGCCCTGACACTTTGATTGATATAAGTACTTGCTTTTGATGAATATATAATCTGTTTTGATTAAGGGACTTGCTTTTGAAGCATTATTCTGAGCAACTGACTTTTCGTTTTGATGAAGTTGGGGTTAGGGTTGCACTTTTGCAAGTTATCCACCATGTTTTGCAGTTTAATTGTTTTGAGAAAAGCCTTCATGGTGGTGCAGAGATCAATTCTGTTGTGAGAAATGCACCAAAGTAACTGAGAAAAACTGTAATAATGGTGTACGAGCAAACGTTAAAACATGGTAATAGAGTGGAGCATTTACTTGTACCACCATAGATTTTTAAACATTTGACCTATCTTTGAAGACAGGTATGACCTATGCTCTCGAATTAATTTAGTCTCCTAAACAAGACAACTTTTTGAAGACAAACAGACAGACAGACAGACAGACAGACAGACAGACAGACAGACAGACAGACAGATAGATAGATAGATAGATGGATGGATGGATGGATGGATGGATGGATGGATGGATGGATGGATGGATGGATAGATAGATAGATAGATAGATAGATAGATAGATAGATAGATAGATAGATAGATAGATAGATAGATAGATAGATAGATAGATAGATAGATAGATAGATAGATAGATAGATAGATAGATAGATAGATAGATAGATAGATAGATATTTGTTCACCAACGCAAAGGATATCTTGAACGTAACTCAACATGAACGCGCAGTTAACTCGGGGCTGTGTGCGCGCGGGAAACGTCCTGTCAAAAAGGAGGTCTGTGATTGGTCCTTAGCTAACTGGTTCCACATCAGCCGACCGATCGGTCCACGCAGGAGGCGTCCCGTCACCGTCTGACTGGCATCTCGCTTGTGTCACTTCAGAGGGAGTTGGTGAGTCAATCGGAGAAGTGGAACGAAGAGGTGTGTCCAATCAGGAAGAGAAAAGAACCGACCTGATGTTTAACCTGGTGGTGCCATCATGGTATCATGTTGATCAAAAGATCGAAAATACTGTTTATACAAGTTATTTTCGACTTTTCGTTACACAACCTGGCACCTGGCAATGTTATAGTAATTTCACATTATGATTTATTTTCAGCCTTTATCTTTCATCCAGATTTCTGAGACACGAGAAAGCACTTTCCTATTGAGGCCTGATTACATAGAAAACTGTCTATAAGACACAACATGTCAAAGAATGTAAAATAAATACACAGTAAAGACAAATATATAATAGACTCATCTTCTTGAACTAGGAAGTTAACGTTTTATTTTTCAGATAAGTAGTTTAACGTCTTCAAAACAGGTATAAACCTGTTTATCATTCTTTGATTTTAAGTAGAATTTCATAAAAATTGTATTTGCGAAGCAAAATTTTCTGTAACTTCGTATGACTGAACATGTCTTGATGCCATCATTATTTACTAGTCAGAGCTGATAGAGAAGGCCTTTTCTGTCAGGCAGCAGACAGGAAGTCACTTCTGTTGTAATGAAACTGGAATATTCCACATGCTTTGCTGCTGGTTGTGTTGGTAAAGCAATCATTCTTAACAAACACACAGAATGTAACACAATAAAAACAAAATAGGTGCAGACAGAATTTGGACTTAATGTCCCATTTTGACTGCATTTTTATTTTTATTTCCAACTGGAACTCTGACACCTAAAACCTAGATATTTGATTTAATGTATGAGTTTCAGTGACCTGTCTTACAGCTTCATCTGTTACATGCCCCACTTGGATCTTGTCATCATTCCACCCCAGGTTATCTTTTGTCTGTTGCCACAGCAGCACATGTCTCGTGTAACTGGGACACATTTTGTAATCAGAGTCAATCACCCAGTTTAACTGTGACTTTTAGGGAATTTCTCTTCTCCTTTATTAAAACTCGTTTCATGGTTTGTAAATTTTAGAAATATTGTCCTGTTGAAGACAAAAAGATGGTCTCATCCAAACTAGACGAGACGACACATTGAATCTTGTGGCAGTGTTTGTGGCTAAGCCTTTAATCTTAAACAATTCACTAACAGCTTCTCCAGCAAAAAATAAAAATAAAATAATAACAATAATCATTCTTCCTCCTCCATGCTATACAGTGGGAACTTCAATGTCGGACTTTCAGTCCTTTTTTCATTATACCCAATGGAATGAATATGCGCTGGGTAAATTTTCCTTGTCCAAATGGTCTTTTGTTTTCTTTCAGTTAATGGTACTTTATAGCTTATTAGCTCATACAGCATCCTGACTTGAGTGTTTCTTATGGGGTTAAAATGATGACCGTTTAAACTGAGATGCAGAACTCAAATTGAAAGCTCACATCAGCGTGGTTGGACGAGGCTGGTTCAGAACTCTGTAGCCAGATTTCTGACAGGGACGAGAAAGTCCACACACATCACTCCTGTGCTGGCCTCAATACACTGGCTCCTTGTAAGTTTTCGGGCAAAGTTTAAAGTTCAGTGCTATGTCTTCATGCCTCTTTACGGTGGTGTTCCACCATATTTGGCAGCACTGATAAAAAGACTTACGCCATCATTAACTCTATGCTCGGCTGACCTGGAGCTATTGATTGTGCACAGACTAGGTACAGGTCTAGAGGAGATCAGGTTTTCTCGGTCTTAGCTCCTTCTCTCTGGAATGAGATTCCACTTGATATTAAACTGCCACCATCACTGCAGGTTTTTAAGAGTCGTTTGAAGACTAACTTTTATCGTTTGGCTTTTGCGTGACTTGGTTTTATGCTTTTATCTCCTTTTTATTGTTCTTCGTGTTTTTAGTGTATTTTAGGTTCAGCACCTTGGGTTCCTGCAAAGGCAGTGGAAGGTGCTATATAAATAAAGATATATTGATTGATTGATTGATTGATTGATTGATTGATTGATTGATTGATTGAAACTGAAAATAAACGTTTGCACTGAAAAGAAATACTGACACTGAAAAATATAATTGTTATTGAAAACGCTTACCCCTTTGTTCCTCGGCTTTGAAAATACCAATACCCTCCTACTGTCCAAATAACCAGCAGGGGGCGGTATAATACAAGAAGATTTGGAGTTAGACTGATGTGACCAAAACCAGAATCCTAAAGTCTTCATCACAATCTCTGAGTGTGCGCGCGCGTGTGTGTGTGTGTGTGTGTGTGGGGGGGGGGGGGGGGGGGGGGGGGGGGGGGCGGGGGGGGGGGGATTAAACTGGAAAGCACAGAAACTGTGTCTCAATTAAGTTGGTGAAATTATAGCATGAAAACTAAATGCGTCATATTTGAACATTTATACTTGAACAAGTAAAATAAATTAGGAATATTTTAATGTTTATGTTTATTTATGTAGCAGACGCTTTTATCCAAATCGTCTTACAAATTATAACCTATAGGGCATGTTGTGATCTGTGGGGGAAACCGGAGTACCCGGAGGAAACCCACGCATGCGGGGAGAACACGCAACTCCATGTATAAAGGCAACAGCCGAGTTTCGAACCTGCAACCTTCGTGCTGCATGCGAGGCAACAGTAACAACTGCGCCACCATGCAAATCTGTTATTTTTGGACATATTCATAATATTCATGATAACATACTAACAAGTATGATATTGAATATATTTTACAGTTTTATACTAAGATTTCTCTGGGAAATGAAGGCAGTCACTGCGCCAACCAATCTCACCATCAGTGATGATGATGAACAGGAGGAAGATGATAATGGGACAAATCCTCAAATATAAAATATTCTAATAATCTATACTTGATCCAAAATAGTATCTATTGTTCAATAACTTTTCAAAAATATTCCACAATGATTGCTTTTTCTTAAAAAAAATTCTAAATTGTTTAATAATTATGAAATATTCTGTATTTTTTAACAGTGATATAATGTTCTAAAATTAGCTAAACTGTGTCTTATAATGATCTATATTATTCAAAAATAACGATTATTTAACTTGTTGGATTTCTTTTACCAGAACAGGGCCAACGTCCATATTTGATCACTTCGTTTTCTCTGACTTTCTGCATGAAAATAAATAGTTTTGAAAATTGTAACAACAGAAATGCCTTTTGGTTATGGACTACAACAACACCCTGGGGTTGAAACATTTTTTTTAATACTTCAATGAGTGCCCTATAAAGGGTTAATAGCAGATCTGGTCTCATCTGTGTAAGATCAATATGATAAGGCCAAATTCCAACGTCATCAGCAGGTGCTTTTATTTTATGCACTTCTGTGTCACGTGACTTAGTCACGGCCAACGTCATCACCTTTCACGGAAGTCAGAGCTGTGACGATGGTGGCCTTGTCGGTTTATCCGCAGGAAGAGAATAATGTTTGCTTTCAATGAAAAAATAACACCGCGTTAGAAAAGAACAGCCGGTGTAGTTTTCTCTGCGGAACCTGCGGGACCTTGGAGCGCTCATCGGCGGCCTAAACGGGCGCTGGACAAGAAAATACAAAAATGTCCCTCTTCCAGTCGGCACTGGATTTCTTAGCCGGGCCCGGCTCATCCGGAGCGGCAAGCCGGGACCAGAACGACTTCGTCGGCCAAGTCGTAGAGCTCGGTGACATGAAACTGAGGATCAAGAGGGTGATTGCTGAAGGTGAGAAACTGAACCACGACAGGAAACTGGACCGTAATCTCTTACAGACATGCTAGGTGGTAGCCGGATAAGCTAAACATACTAGCAGCATCAGTTAGCAAGTGCTGACCTGTGAGTCACCAAATCCCACTCGATCATTTTGTTTCTATCTAGTAAAAATTCATTTTGAATGTGTGAAATGTCTAAAGGAAGACCTGTTCAGCCCATCCCGCACGTTCACGTGACTTGTGTTGTTTATGATTTGGTGGGAGAACGCAGACATTGTAGGTTAAATTACCATAGTGCTAATATAATAACAACAACAACAACAACAACAACAATAATGAGAGATATGAGAGGCGTGTTGGTAAACAAACAGCCACATCAGAACAAGTGGCTGTTTCTGGTTTTTGAGAAACTCGTTCTGAGCTGAGATCTTGGGAACAAATGTACACCCCAATCAGAAATATGAAAATAAAGATTATTTTAGAATCCTGGACAATAATTTCCTATGATCCTGCAGCAGACACAGCTTTGTTTGTTTGTTCACAGCAAATTAGATACAGCGGTGGTGTAAAACTACTGAACCTGTGTTTGTGGTAGCAACACAGTGTAATTAAAGTAAGTTTATTAAGAGTAGACTTTAAGCACATAAGATAAAATCTAAGCATCATTTTTTAAAGAGATTTTCTGTGTAAATATTTTTAAAGGAGCATTTTGTCCTTTAAAAGTCATAATTAACCTGTGTCTTATTTGTTTTCCATTTAATTTATGCACATGTACTCTCAGTATATTTACATGAATCAGCATCTGTGTACTCTAAATGATGGACTTGTACATGCCCACAAGAGGTTAAAGGGAAAGAACAAAACCTTTCAAATCCAAGCAGGTGGAGATCATTTTACTCAAACACTCTGCTTTTCCAACTCCCATGTTACTGTTTGAAAGACGTCTTTGTTCGTTTTTACCAGGATCTTTGGTGGAACGTGCTACGAATAAGTGACCTGTAATATTCTTGTTGTCGGTTGTATAATTAAGGGTGGAATTTTTAAACAAGGGTCTTGGAAATCAGAAGAAAATGAAACTTAGGTTTCATCTCTCCTCATTGTTACAGGTGCTAGCGTGCAATACCAGTCTGCTTATTTGCTTAGTTTATTATTTCTTTACTAGCTTATCGTTTGCTGTTGCTTTTTAATTTGACTGAAGTGAGATCATGTTATTATAGGTGTAGATGTTACAGGTTTGAATCCCAAACAAGTTCAGGAATTTGGGGCTGGAGTCATGAAACCATCTTCCACACCTGGGCAGTCCCTCTTATGTAAATAAAGTGTTAAAGATTAGAGGCTTGAGCCTGTACTTCTAGTGATTTCTGTTGAGCAAAGCGGAGCTGGTGGTTAATGAACCCCTGGCTACAGTGACCATGCTGGTTTTCTTGGGCCTGGTTGTGAGTAGGTTTTTGTTAAAGGTGTGTTTGACTGAAAATACAAATTTTTAAATGTTTTAAAATCCTCAAGAAAGGCGGTTGGATTTTTTTAATTGTCCAACCATCCATTCTCTTCCGCTGATCTGGGGTGGGGTAATGGGGGCAGCAGCCCAAACAGAGAGGCCTAGACTTCCCTCTCCCCAGCCACTTGGACCAGCTCCTTCGGAGGAATCCCAAAGCGTTCTCTGGTCAGTTGAGAAACAGTCCCTCCAGCGTGTCCTGGGTCTGCCCATGGGTCTCCTCTCATTTGGACTGGAGGAAAACCTCACCAGGGAGGCATCCAGGAGGCGCCCTAACCAGAAGCCAGAGCCACCTCAACTGGATCCGCTCGATGTGGAGGAGCAGCGGATCTACTCTGAGCCCCTCCTGGATGACCAAGCTTCTCACCTATGAGCCCAGACATCCTGCACAGAAAACTCATTTTGGCCGCTTATTTTCGCTTTAATGGCACGATAAAACTCCTCCTATTCCGCCTTCAGGATAATAAGTTACGGTCATGTCTACTAGAGTAATTGTAGTTGTGTGTTTGTTGAAAGACGCCTGTTGTGTTGTCACCATACTCTAAAGCTGAAGCAGGTTCTTTTTGTTTTGTGGCAGCAAAGCTAGTTTTTGTGAATGGCTCTGAGTTCTTTCTTGAATTAAGCTGTAAAGAGATCAGGAGGACACTTTCAGTGCTTCTGTTCTACAGAAATAGTTTAAGTGTCAGTCTGTAACCGACAGAGAAGTCACGAATGCAGCATTTCTGTGAAAATGTGCGTTTTCAGCCATCCAGGGCCTTCAGGTTAGAGAAGTCCTGGAGACATGAACGGTGTCGTGTTTCCGCTCAGGGTCTGCTCAGCCGTGAGCGGATACGGTCTTGGTTACACGTTACCTGTGGTTCAGGTTTTCTGCAGGCTTTGTGATCCTTTCTGTGGCATTTTACCCTCAAATGCTGAAGAATCCATCAAACTGCACGATGTAGGCTGACGTATTTGATTAATCTCACTCTGGAAGCTGTTGAGAAAAGTTCCACCGAAGTGTGACGTTGGTTTTTAGCGGCGCTACAGCGTTACAACATCAGCTCTGAATCCAACTTTTTACACAACACTATGAAGAACTGCTGAGAAGTCATTGTTGTGCTGCTTAATAGCAGTCAGACCCGTAGAGATGGCAGCAGTGCGCCTGACGTCCTTGCTGCTGTTTGTTTGTTTGTAGGGGGCTTTGCCTTCGTGTATGAAGCCCAGGACATGAGCAGTGGGAAAGACTACGCTCTGAAGGTAAGAGGAAGCAACATTAACAGAGAAAATTGGCTCTGGTCACAATTTATAATTTGTTCAACAAAAATGTTTTGTAGTCTAAATGATTTAAAGATTGACCATGTAGTCAATTCTGTAGCCATTTTCTATCTCGCTGTTTTAAAACGGTGTTTTTAGGGTGTAAATCAAATGCAGTGAATCGGCAGCGTTCCCACCCACTAACTGCACCGGGCCTTTTACCGGGCCGCTCCGAGTACCTGCTCCTGATCAGGCGCTCCGAAGGTTCCTGAACACGGCCGTTCGGCCGGCCCGGTCAAGTGGAGACACGTGTTTGTTGGGAGGTTCCTGTAAATTGCTTGGTGTGTGTGTGCGTGCGCGTGTGCGTGTGTGTGTGCGTGCGCGCATGTGCGTGTGCGTGGAGGATGGCTGCTTCTACTGAGCCAGGATTCTCTGGAGGTTTCTTCCTGTTAAAAGGGAGTTGTCCTCTCCACTGTCGCTGCATGCTTGCTTAGTATGAGGATTGTTGTAAAGACTCTGACACTAGTCAGTGACACTAGTCAGTGACACTAGTCAGTGACACTAGTCAGTGACACTAGTCAGTGACACTAGTCAGTGACACTAGTCAGTGACACTAGTCAGTGACACTAGTCAGTGACACTAGTCAGTGACTCGATGCGACCTGCTGGGTTCCTTATATAGGAAACATTATTTCTGATTGGCTTAATGAACTGACCTGAATTGGAATGTTTATTATGTGAAGTGCCTTGAGACGACTCTTGTCGTGATTTGGCGCTTTATAAATAAACTTGAATTGAATTGAAAATTGACCCTGAAGTTCCAGTAATGAAAGCTCATCAAAAGTGACCAGTGAATCTTCCTTTTTCTCCGTGTTATTAACAAAAACTGTTAAGGAATAGAACGTTACACGTGGATCTTCACAGATGTCTCTAGATCCTGGTGATCCACGTGTGTGTTTGTGTTTCAGAGGCTTTTGTCCAACGAGGAGGAGAAAAACAAGGAGATCATACAGGAAGTCTGCTTCATGGTATCCTTCATCTTCTGTTTAAACCACCTTTGTGTCTCTTAAGATCATAAGTGTTCGTTTTCAGTACACGGCCGGGGTCGTGTGAATAAGAAAAGGCATGGTTTTGTAGCTTGTGGCTGAAGTCTGGAGTTGGGTAAACGGTTATTACTGAAGACGGAGGAGGTTGTTTGTGGTTTCTTTTGTGTAGCGTGGTTGTTTTACAGGTTTTCAGGGACGTTTATGTAGCGTCTGAAACGTTACCCTGTGATCGGGTGTGTTCCTTGACCCTCTGCTGTCAGAAAAAGCTGTCCGGTCATCCAAACATGGTTCAGTTCTGCTCGGCCGCCTCAATCAGTAAAGAAGAGTCCGACACGGGGCAGGCCGAGTTCTTGATCCTCACTGAGCTGTGCAAAGGTAAATGCTGACACATACACAAACGTTTCCTGAGATTTTGATGTTCTGGCCTTTCTTCTCTCCGTCAGAGCAGAATATGTGCTTACGCGTTAATCAGCAGACATTCAGGGTGGCAGCTGAGCTTGTCAGGAACTTGGAAACGTTTTCTGAGGCCCTTTGATTTCCTGCCCTACTTCCTCTTGTCCCATTAGAACACGTCTGCTTTTCATTCAGCGTGTTTTACAGCTTAAGAAGCAAATATCCTGAGTTGCTGCTGCACATCAAAGCGTGCACTAATGTTTGAAATCCTCTTCTTTGCCTGTGTGGAGCTTCATTCATTCACGTTTGTGTCTCCCCTGCTTCAGGTCAGTTGGTGGACTTTATAAAGCGGGTAGAGCAGAAAGCGCCTCTGTTGTGCGACACCGTGCTGAAAATCTTCTACCAGTCGTGCCGCGCCGTGCAGCACATGCACAAACAGAAACCTCCAGTCATCCACAGAGACCTCAAGGTTGGTTTGTCCCCCGCAGATGAACGAGTGAATAATGTATCACAAGGGTTATGAACAACGAGACATCAATGTTTGGCCGCTGTGCTTATCGCGGTCGCCTCTGATGCGTTGCAGATTGAGAACCTCTTGATTAGTAACCAGGGCACCATCAAGCTGTGTGACTTTGGCAGCTCCACCACAGTGTCGCATTATCCTGACTACAGCTGGTCTGCACAGAAGAGATCTATGGTGGAGGATGAGGTACACACACTCAAACAAATGCGTTAAAAAAAGCTGTTCTCTGATAATTCTAATATACTAAACACCCTTAAGTATTTATGAGAATGTGTTTATTACCTTAAGTCTTCTCAATAAAACCACTATAGTGAGTAAGGATGTGAATCTTAGAGCAACTCACCTTTTGATTCGATTCCGATTCTTGGGGTGCCGATTCGATTCAGAATCGATTCTCAATTTAAATCGATTCACAATCAGTATTAACAAAGAGCGCCAGCTCCAGGATGAACTACTTTGTTGTACAAGTTAGTTAAAGCTGTGGCACATTTTTATTTGACTTTAAACTGGTCGTGCTCCAAAAATGCAAATTTACACTGAAACTAAAGTGATTCTGAAACTGTAAACAGAAGCAATCTTTTGGCCAAAAGGCAACATTTATTTTTGCTTATATTATTATTTTATTTTATTTTATATTATATTATTATTTTATATTATATTATTATTTTATTTTATATTATATTATTATTTTATATTATATTATTGCTTACAAATCTGTAGCTACCTAACAGTAGCTTTGAAAGTAATACGGTCAAATACTTTTCAGGGATGTGTAGAAACAAGTTACATGAGTAATCCTGAGTACTCACTTATCAACTTAGATAATAAATATGAGAATATCTCAAATTTCTGAGTATGGAAAAAATGACATTCAAGCGTCCTCTTATCAGCAGATTCAAACATGAATCATCTCAGTTTATGGGACCACAGACGTAAACGGAGTACTGACTCTCCTAACAAAGATCAAAAAGTGCATCTCAAACCTGTAATATGCCAAATATTTCAGTTCTTGGAATCGATTCTGAACCTTTGTCAATCGATTCTGAATCTTTATAAATAAGAATCCTGATTCAGACTTGAACCGATTTATTTCAGCACCTCTAGTAGTGAGGCTGCACTGTGGTTCGGTTGGAAGGTCTCATGTTCAAATCCCAGTGAAGTTGGCACTTTCTCTCCGTGCACGCGTGGGTTTTGTCTGGGTTCTCAACCAAAAACAGGGTCACGTTGGGGTAACTGGAGACGAAATGGGCCCCCCGCCTGTCGCCCTATTACTGTTCACTCCAGTAAGGTTGGGTGATATTTGCCAGTCCAACAAATGACAGTGGGAGATGTCTTCACGCCGCACGCTGTGATACACCAATCACAATCATTCCTAACCAGTTTGTGGAAGCAGATCACAAGGGGTCCTCATGTGGGAGATTGTTGATTTCCAAATTTCCAAATGACTGTTTGGTGTGTTAATAAACAACAAACAGCACAGCTACGGGTTTGAGCTAGACACATTAGAATTGGGCGGCATCATCAAACATCTTCTCAGTCCCTACACCTCCAGCAGGTCCCTGAGGTCCAGTGATCAAAGCCTACTGGTTGTGCAGCACCAGGCTAAAGGTCAAAGGTGACAGAGCATCTGCTGCTGTGGCCCCCAGACTCTGGACCTCTCTCCCCCTGAGCCTGAGATCAGTGGACTCAGTGGTCTCCTTTAAAAGCAGCTGAAGACTCACTTGTTCAGGCTGACCTTGGTGTGACCTCGTGTTGATTCTTCCTCACTACCTCCTTTTCGTGCTGCTAACTCCCAATTCTGCCCTTCTCTGGATCCTGCTTTGTCGTATTCATTGTGTCCTCCTCCTCATTTTTGTAGTTTAAATTTTAAAATTGTCCCCTTCTTTATAATATTTATACATCATATATATAAAATCTTTTATTTAATCCTTTTTATTTAAAATTTTTGTTCTTGTGAAGCATCTCGTGATTTTTATCTTGAGACTGTATAAAAAACGGTTTCTTCTTCTACTTCTGACCCGTCGGCGAGTACTTAAAACAGAGCAAACCCATCATCTGAGAAAGACACGTCTGAATGTTGTCAGTGGTACATTTAGTTGGATTGTGGACGGACTTCTTGATGCGAACTGTTGTTTGAAGTCTTTTCTAAGCACAACATAGTAGAAGATTTGTTTTTGTCTTGTTTTACTGACAAGTTTCGGCGAACGCTGTAGCCTTCCTCAGAGCTCGGCTGATGCTGCTTCTCCGTTTATCCGTGGGCAGCGGAGGATAAACGGATATGAGTGAGTTTGGCATTATTTAGAATTTCCACACGGTTTGACACAAGTGCTGACTGTGTCTACAGTAGCGCTGGACAGTAATTCAATAAGGATATTACATGTGGTTCAATAGGGGAAAAAACAGATCAATAAAGAGTTTACAATCTCCATCGCTGCCTATCAGGTATCTTCATACTAGAGTCATTACTCACCCGAGCAACCAGAACCACAGACCCATGCCCTTCCCTTTCCAGCCTAAACAGACAGCAGTGTGACTTACACGAGATGTTGCAGCAAGAAGAAACTCCTGAAAAGGTTACAGTAGTTCACCGGTGTGGTTGTATTTTCATTCTTACAAGTCTGACAAGAAACAAGCAGCGGTTTGCAAAATGAGCAGAGAATCGATAAAACCAAGCCTGGTAATGCAACCAACTTGTTTTCATCATAAAGTAATGACACAACATGGCCAAGGCTGCACTTCAGATGTTTTTCTACAATTTTCAAAGAATTTTCATTAATTATTGATATTTACCTATACAATTTTTGTCTATGTCGTCCAGCCCTAGTCTACAGTTATGGCTGTATAATAATAATAATAATAATAATAATGCATTTTATCTAAAAGCGCCTTTCAAGGGACACGAGGACACTTGACAGCAATAAAATAACAAAGAAACCACGTTAAAAACAGCAAAAATCACACAGAAGCCTAAAAATACAAACTAGATAATAAAATCAATGAAGATGGAAAAGGTGACACTAGCAGTGTGCAGTCTGGAGCAGGTGGGGTTGGAGTCTAGATTTAAAGGAGGGGGGCGAGTCAGAGTTACGGATGGCTTGAGGGAGAGAATTCCAGAGACGGGGAGCAGAGCTGCTGAAGGCTCTGCTCCCCAAAGTGCTGAGACGGAAAGGTGGGACAGAGAGAGTGATAGAGGAGGATGATCTGAGGGAAGGGATGGGAGAGATGATGTGAATGAGGTCAGACAGGTAAGGGGGAGAACGGTTATGGATAGCTTTAAATGTGAGAAGGAAATCTTATGCGTTGTCTAACAGGAAGCCAGTGAAGCTGCTGCAGGACAGGGCTGATATGGTGACCCTCAGGGGTTTTAGAAAGGATGCGTGCAGCAGAGTTCTGGACCAGCTGGAGCTTATGGATGGACTTTGGTGGTAAACCAAATAGGAGTGAATTGCAGTAGTCGGTTCTTGAGATGACAAGGCTGTGAACACGTGCGGAAGCAGAGTGGGGGTGAGAGAGGGGTGAAGGTGATTAATACCTTGCAGGTGAAAGTATCATTGATTACACGTATATTAGCATCGTACCAATCACAGCTTAAATGTAAACACACGCAGTGTTGCAAAAGAGACGCTGATTTGACCTGGAAGTATGTAATGTCCCATCTGCGGGACGAAACTGGCCAATCGTCGATGGTCGATATGAGTTCAGCCGTCCGACCTCACGAGTCCGCCTGATGCAGTAACGTTTGCTGCATCACCTCTTAGCCGTCTTTCATAATGTGGACAGAATTACATCACGTCCTTTCTCTGATGTAACACTCTCACTTATACGTGTCACACATCCTCTTCCTGTTGTGACACTTCCTACGTTTCATAATACTTCCTCACTGCTTTTGGAAAAGGTTCTAAAATGAAGAAAATATCTAAAAAAACAAGTTATAGTTGTGCAGCCAGTGTCTACTTTTTCACACACACCAGAAAAATGATGTAAACTCACGGTCTCATTTGAGACGTTTTTGGGCTTTTGTACAAAATCTTAATACATTAGATTTTTCTTATGTACAGATTTTATTTGCCGCGACATTTCTGACTACAGGAAACGCATTTTTATACACTATTAATACACGAATCATCATTTTGTTGAAGAACAGATTTATCAGTGTAAAGATCCTTAGTTCGGTTCCTCTCCTCAGAAGGAAAAAATAAGACATTCGTAGGTCTCAATAATAATAATAATTCTGTGACAGTAATGATTTCAGGGTGTTGCAGAAAAACCAGAAACCTTTAACTGAATTAGCTGATGGAGGTCCAGGAAGTCCTGATTGAAGAATTTAATCCTGTTAATACCATAACCACAACGCGCCCTGCTACAGATGACCTCAGCATGCACCACTCCGGAGTTGGTTAATCTAATAACCTGCATGTCTGCCAAACACGCGTTTTAACGCTCGGGAGTCGGGAGGAAGGCTTTCTGTGATCGGGGGTCTTGGGTGGAAAATATCCCGTTTTTACTCATGAAGCTGATCCCAAATAAATGTTGTTTTTTTGCATTTTTAATGACGGCTTTATCAAGGTTTGTGAAGAAGTAAAATCTGACTCCAAGTGAAAAATATTTCTGTTATTTTAGATAACCAGGAACACGACTCCAGCGTACAGAACACCCGAGATGATCGATCTTTACTCCAACTTCCCCATCAACGAGAAGCAAGATATCTGGGTGAGAGCATGGAAAACGCCTCCGTTTCTCTTTCTTTCTGTTTTTTATCTTTGCTTCAGTTTATTTATTCTTATTTTGGTCTTCATCATGCCCTTTCTCCACGCAGGCACTTGGGTGCATCCTCTACTTGTTGTGTTTCAAGCAGCATCCTTTTGAGGACGGAGCCAAACTGCAGATTGTCAACGGAAAATATTCCATCCCTCAGAACGACGTCAAGTACACCGTGTTTCATGACCTCATACGTACGTGTCACCAGAACTCCCAATTCTTTAAAGAGCAAGTCACCCCCAAATCCACTTCTTTTCCTGATAAACTATATAAATGTGTGTCTAATCGTGCTGCAGACACGTGACACCAATAGTTTAACACTTTAGTGCATTTTAGTTACAATTAAAATGTTCTGCCTAAAACTGTCAGTGTTGTGCCGTTGTCAGGTAAAAACTCTGCACTGCATTTGAATTTAAATCTGCCATCGCTATTGGCAAAGAGGTACCCTAGAACGTTAGCTGGGACATTATGATGTCATTGTGAGCCTGTGTGTGTGTGTGTATTTGTTAGCGGCTCCGCCCTCTCCATCTGCTAGGCAACAGCATTTGTTGCATTTTTCCAACAGGAAGTGGGAGTTGAGTAAGAATCTGGTAGGGGGTGACTTGCTCTTTAAATAGTTACGATGCTTCTCAACAAGTCCGTTGTCCCAGTTAGCTGATTTTTATAAACTCTCTGATGCGTGAGGACATTTGTCAAAGAAATGATGATTAAACAGAATTTCTTTGACTAGAAGTCACCGTTTTTAAAATATAAGCACACACACTTCAGCTACATTTAAAAAATAAAAACATAACGGGCGTTTTGAGATATCGTAGACATCTCTTCAGACAAATTAAATTTCAACAAACGCTTGTAACTTTGTGTTTTCTGAAGTATTCTGCAATGTTTTTTGAAAAATGTCCCTATTTTCTCAGTATTTAGTTTCGTTGTTCTGTTGCTGGAAAGTTCAGTTGTGCACTCGGTGGCTTTATGTGCAGCTCTTCCTTTTGTCCTCCAGGTTCCATGCTAAAGGTGAACCCCGAGGAGCGGCTGTCTATAACAGAGCTGGTGAACCAGCTGCAGGAGATCGCTGCAGCACGCAACGTCAACCCCAAATCGCCCGTCACTGAAGTGAGTCTCTCTAACCTCGGCGTTCCACCAGATGCATAAGCAGCACGAAACTTTCTGAAGACGTAATAAGCAGCGTAGGCAACGGGGTTGTCTCCGTCGCGTGAGCAGCAACACACATCGGGTCTGACCCAGAGGTGTAGCGTCGTGTCGCTCGGCTAACTTTACGCACCAGGTCGATTTTTTACGCTCCATGCATCCAGAACATGTCATTCTCAGCAGTTCAGTTCAGGCTAGACAGGAAATCACACATAGAAGCAGCATGTTTCAAAATAAAAGGCACCTTCCGGTTGACATCATTACCTGCGACACTTCTTTGGATGATGAGGTGAAAAGAACAGAAAATAAACGGCAGACACTTTGGATACATGCTGCCATCCTTGCTTTTTATCGTGTGAACTGGAAAAGTCACACTTGATCCAACAGTTCCGTTATTTTGTGGGACCAGTTGCATGGAATGCTTCTGCTGGGACTGCACATCCATTAATCCCGCACCGTTTACGCGTCCGGTGGAAAGCCGGCAGGTAACGAGCTGCACAAAATGACCATGGTCGTAACAACTTTAACTTGTGTTCACGCCGTGAAGATGCTATTGGCAGGCCTGCCACATGGCCTCTTCCACTGTGTGCTTTTGTTTAGTCTCACACACACATACACACACACACACACACACACACACACACACACACCCCCCCCGAGGGTTACAGAGGGGTCTGTTTTCTCCTCTCTTGGCTCCTCTGCTCCCAGCTGGCGAAGTGCTAACAGCCCTAAAGATGCAGAAACACGGAGATTAAAATCAGTGACATGAAAGTCGGTTTATACCTGAACGGATTGCAGCACCTCAGCAGTACTGTGGTACACACTTATCAGCCAGCTGGCATCAGATTTAAGATATTAGTTCAGGCTAGTTTAGCAGCTAATCCTGCTACTTATCGCTAAATCCTCTCAAATTTAACCCGACTTTTCTTCCCATCTTGGCTTCTTTTGTTTGTTTGTTTGTTTGTTTGTTTTGTTTCGACTCACCGTTACGTCAGCCGTAGAGTTCAGCATTCCTGCTAAACTTTTCACACATTTAAAAATACATTTTTTACCCTTCAGCAAATTGGCAGCTGAAGGTTTGCCTAAAACTCAAAAATCTGGTCGTAAACGTGAATCCCAATCAGACCGGTGAGTGTGTGCAGGGGTTTGACGATTGCTGATCTGATTAGGATTAAGAAGGGGGTTCCCTGCTGGACATAAGGAGATTACAGCCTCCCTGCACCTCCTCTGCTCTCCGATGCAGTTCAGCACAGACATATGGGCGACATACTGTAGCAGAGTGGAGAGAGAGAGGAGAAAAGTCGTTAAGGAAGGGAGGAGAGGTGGAAGCGAGAGACTGATAGAGAAGTGCAGTAAACAGCTCAGAGGGGAAGGAGGCAGAAGCTGTCTGGCTGCAGATCTGACAACAAACTAGCAATGAATCATTTAAAAGGATTCTTGAAGAAACGTGATTTTACTTTGGGATTATTCGTTTCCGGTATTAAAAGTTGAATCTTTCAGTCTTGGTTGCAACTTTTTGCTGTTTTTTTTTTTCTTGAGTTGATTCATTTTGCTCACCAACCAGTTGCTATGTTGAGCACATACTACTGTTGGCGTCCCACGTATGATGGCTATGAATGTCTGCAGCTGCTGGAGCAGAACGGAGGGTTTGGAAACAACGGAGCACAGCTTCCCGTGCAGATCCACGGCATCCAGAACAACGCAGGTAAAGCTTTATGTCTGAAGATTCAAGCATGCTTCTGCGACGTCTGTATCAAAAGTATAAATGTAGAGTTAAGGAGCAGCACAACAATGAAAAGCATCTTTGCCAAGTTCTTACTAGCAAAAAGAAAGCTGAACACACCAGCTGACAATACTCATAAAATACTGTTTTACTACAAAGTGTACTGCAAGTCATTCCTATTTCTTTGTAAATTTCCCCAAATTACCTTAATAAGCTTATTGATTTTCTCGCCTCATGCCTTTAAGAGGATTTCTGCACCGCCAGTCGACCATCTGTTAAAAAGTCGTTTCCTCTGCAGATTGGATCTAACGGCATGAACCCAACGTTTAACAGACTGAGTGCCGTGGAAATCATCTCGTTCCATTAGCTGCTGTTTTATTTCAGTTCAGCTGCATACCTGATGAACCGCCCTGTGCTGTCGTGGTTTGTGGCTCCGCCTCTAGATCGTTGCTGTACTTTGTTCTTATGCCCAGGTGTGTATGATCCGGATCAAGCAGGAAGTGGATTCTTAGATATCTTGAGGGGGGGGACGGAGCGCTTCCTGACAAACATCAAGGATACGTCCTCTAAAGTCATCCAATCAGTAGCCAGGTGAGACGAGTCTGTCGGTCTGTATTTATTTGTTATGATCATGTCGAATCTTCCATTTTTTAAAACAAGCTGATTACATTTTCTGAATGTCTTTTCTCACATGGCATTCTGTTATTTATGAAGAAATTACTCAGTGATTTGTTAATTCTGCTGTTAATATGGGAACTCATGATTGCTCCGCCATGCCGGGCTTTTTCAGCGTCGTGTGACGGTTAGCTGCTGCTATAATCGATGGATGCGTGCTGGAAGCGTAGTGACGCACCGGTCCCCCAAATTTAAGCTTCAGTTCTATTTTTACGTGATTCTCTTCCAAAACGCGCCAAGCTCTGTGGTTCAGATCAGGCCAGACAGGAAATCAAAAATTCAACATAGTATAAAACATCCAGAAACTTTCAAAATAAAAGACACTTGTATATTTCCAGTTACGTAACTAGTAGAAAAATTATGTTCTTTCCTGTGAAACCTCCGTAGCCGAAGTAAAAAGAACAGAAAACAAACCATAGGTCCTTTTGGATACACGCTGTCATCTTTCTATTGGTTTATCACGTGATCTTCTGAAATCACGCGTGATCTTGCATTTCTCAGGGGATTTTATGACCTAGCGGAACCAGTTGTGTATAACGCTTTCTCTGCCAGTTCACATCTGATTCTCGTTTATTACGACGCGTGCTACTTGTGCATCCAGTGGAAAGACAGGATTAAACTTATTTATTGGAAATTAGTTTTTTCTTTCTAAACAAAGCAGTTTTATTTGTCTTGCCTTACATTTCACTACAAATATCATTCCCAGTATCTGATTACTCGCCATTTCTCATTTGTCTACATTCTCATTCACAACCGATCCAGCCCTGGCCCCATGCTAACTTCAGAGGAACATTTTGATTTTAGTTTGTTATTGTTTTGTAGATTGTATATTTTTAAAGACGGGCATAAAAAAGGCCAAACGTTAAACCTCTTAATAAAAGTATAAACTCCTTTTTTATTCTACCATCAGTTTGATCCATTTGTTTGGTTGTTTATTGTTTTTTTGTGTTGTTTCTGTTCTCTGTCCCCACCCTTCATGGTCCCACTATGTGTCCTCCACCTAGCAGCCCGAGGTAAATATGGGTCGATGGCATTTGCCAGCTCATGCGTATTTCTGTGTGTTTTGCAGCATGTGTTGGATAGATGGAGGAGTGTGTACAGAGGCTTTTTCATGCTGTGTTTGTCTGCCATCACAGCTCAGTCATCCTAACATCACACACTCAGTCATTCAGCAGGGTGAACGCGGAGCGGGATGTGAATGAACAAAGGGGCGTACATTAGGGGTGAAGGGATGTGAAAACAACAATCAGGAAATCCCAACAAGATGCCTGACGTAAAGCTTGAAAGGCTCTCGCCTTAAGATGACGTTGGTGTAATCTTGCAGATTAAAAAAACACCGATGGGACCTTTGGGAATGGTCAAAGGCCAATGTCAGACCCACCTAACCGATTGATTGATTGATTTTGATTGATTGAGTCCTGGATGCATCCAGTTTGTCCAGCCCGTACTTGTTGAGATGATTTCCAAACCCAAACTGGTACCAGTGGTTACCTCCCGATCAAACCCGAGACACGGACACAATACACCACTTACTTTAACGTCCAGACAATCCTTCGCCCACTTTGAACACCTCGGCTTAAACGCTGATGCAGCTAATCTATGAAATTTTACGAGACTCGGGTCAAAAGTGACGACGACAACGAAAGAGAGGCCGAGGAAGTGTGTGACAAGTTATTCCGAGGCTGGTCGGCGTTGACATGGAAGACGTGGACAAATGGTTTTGGTGCTCAGGAGGAAGATGAATGCATCAGTCAGTGACTTTTCCCAGTGGGCTAACTTACCAGTATTTAAAAAATAAATGACCCACCTGTGCAACAGGTACTGTTTGCAAATGAGAACCTCCTCGCCTGCGTCCGAGACAAGCCCGAGCCCTCCAACCCCAACTCTTACCCACATGCACACAATTAAAAGTGAATATTTACATGTTTTCTACACACACACAGAGTTAAGCCTCTTACAGAGTGTTTATTGTACTATTGGCTGTGTTGTCTGTATTTAATAAAAGCTAATTTTTACAAAAATAACATTAGTAACCTCACAACTTCAGCACACACAAGGTTGTAGGCAACCTCTGCAGTCTTCTGGGGACCCTCGGTTGGGAACCACAGTCCTGTATTATATTACTTGTTTCTGCCTTTTAAAGGTAGTTGGTGCCGATCGTATTAACTTACTGTCGTTAGTCTGGAAGCGTGTTTTTGTCCGTCACACCGACCATTCAGTGACTTCACCTTACTAGAAGGAAAGTCTATATATGGTAATCGCCTCTATCCAGTTTCGCGTTTGTCGTCCGTTACGATGTTTTATTGTTGGCTAACATCACGGACATTTTACATTTAAATATTTATTTAAAAGTAATAAATTATGTGTATAATTTCTCACCCATAACGCGCCCACATTAAAGATACTTCCACCCGGACCCACGATATTTAATTTTCGTACTTTTTCCACCTGTTGAACAGCTTTTACGCGGGTCGCCTGCCGGTACCGACCCCCATGCTGGAATCTGGCCAGCAGGTCATTAAGAGCCTGTTAATCAGGTGGGTTAAAGCAGGGAAACCCTTAAAACATGCTGGATAGCAGACTTCCAGGACCAGGATTTGACACCCAAGTTTGCAAAGCTTTTCTATTCTTGTTGAGTGATAACTAATTTTGTAGAAGTGACATGGTTGTGGGTTTAAATCCCACCAAATCAGCAGTTTCTAAAACGCGTAAAAGCCCTCCTGTACCACAGATGAAGCGGATCCCCTTTTGTCTCCATTCTGGTCCTCAGCTTGTCGTCTCACCATGTCTGGATGGATTTTAAAAACCTGTTAAGTTTGAATTAATTTGACTTAAACGGTTTCAACGTAACACAAAGTAGATTTATGAATGGCTGATTTATGATTGAGTGAATAAATAATTTTGTTCCGTCTCATCTGCTGACTGAGTAACCGTCTCACCTTCATGTGTTTTTAACCAGCATCCCTCTCTGATGTCACGTGAATAATAATGGCCGCCACAGGCTTTCTGTACTAAACTGTAACATGGAGCAGGAGTCATGCTGTGCTGATTTTCTTCATGTGTTCTTTAAGTTTGTTTGTTGTCATAAGATCAAGAAGAACAAAGAATTTATCAATAAAGTTCAGCATAAAGCTTGTGGTTCATTAAATACTAAAATCATAAATCAGAGGGAAATGTTTAATTTTTTAATTTGTTGATAAGTCTTTAAATTACTGGGATTTTTTTACCCAAAGTTATTATTACTTTATATTTGCCTCTTCTGACTGACGCTGATTTATAAACGTTGATTTCTATTACAGCTATGCCAAAGGGGACCTGGATATTTCTTACATCACCTCCAGAATTGCAGGTAACAACATTCTTCTGCTGTTTTTATTTATTTATTTTATCTCATTTTATTATTACTTATGAGCTCATGGATGCACTGATAGTCCTGTCACACATTTTAGGCCAGATAAACATTTAAGATGTGTGTTTTTGTGTGTAGTCATGTCTTTCCCAGCAGAAGGGGTGGAGTCTGCCATAAAGAACAACATCGAGGATGTCCGTCTGTTCCTGGATTCGCGTCATGCCGGTCACTACGCTGTTTTCAACCTCTCTAAACGATCTTACAGGTCGTCTCGATTCCACAACAGGGTATGTGTAGATGTGTAAATTATAAAACAATACTTTAAAGGCACGCTTAGTAGTTTTAGCTTGCTGTTGGCATCCCCATGAGTCTGTTATTATTTCACTGTTGTGAAACTCTCCTCCTCGGTGTGCCTTTGTGTTTTTAACACCTTAATCTGCTGAAATGTCTCCTCAGCCTTCATTAGTTTCTGCTGGAAACTCATTAATAAATCCAACAAATCAGCTGTGCTCACCATAGGGATGCACCGATACGATACTGGTATCGTTATTGGCGCCGATACCAATACCAATATCAGTATCGGTATCGGTAAAAGTTAACAGATACCAATGCAGTTGCTTGAAAATGGGTTCACTGTAACTTGTCATTTCTGTTCACCTAATATTTTAGTTTTGTGATTATTTCCATTCAAATATTTTACTTTTTATCTACCTCACAGTCTTTTCCTGTTGAAAGCAGAGAAGAAAATAAAATCTGTATTCCAAATCATTTCCATTTTTTGTGTGGTAGAAGTATTGGTATCAGTATTCGGTATCGGCGAGTACTCCGATCCAAGTATCGGTATCGTATCGGTTTGGAAAAAAGTGGTATTGTTGCATCCCTAGTTCACCAGCTATGCATCATGTGCTGGAAGCAGACTCCAGTACGACTTTTTTCACTCGTAGCGTTCAGCTTCAGCTCAAAACTGCATTTGAATTTAAATCTTTTGAATTTGAATTTAAATCTGCCATCGCTATCGGCTAAGAGGTACCCTAGAACGTTAGCTGGTACCATATGATGTCACAATGTCGTTGTGAGCCTGTGTGTGTGTATTTGTTAGCGGCTCCACCCTCTCGGTCTGCTAGCATTTGTTGCATTTTTCAAACAGGAAGTGAGAGTTGAGTAAGAATCTGGTAGGAGGGTGACTTGCTCTTTAAAAAAGTGTAGAAGTAAAAAGGCACAACGTGTGTTAATAGGGAAATAGCTGCTGAGCCGTGTCGATGCATGTCTGCGCATGCGCCGTGACTGGTTCTGGTACTCTCTGGGTTGCAGCCGCTTGCAGCGCCGCCTCAGCAGGGCGATACCCTCACAAGGGATGAGCAAAATATCAAACATGCCAGAAACCCATACAAGCTGATTAGTAGCTGGTCACATGGTGAAACCCCCAGTATACTTACTACACGCCCCGATCTTGTAGATTCTCACACGAGGGGCCTGTCGGCTCAAAAAAGTGAAAAAGCTGCACGGTGTGTGCTCGGTTGAATGGGGATCAGTCCGGATACTCTGAAGTTGCAAGTGTGGTTTTCTGGCCACAGGGGGCGGTGGGAGGCTGAGTGACTTCTCATTAACCCTGTAAAGGATCATTTTAGCACGCACTGGCTCAAGAAAATTATTTAAAAACATGTAAAAGTTGCAAAGTATGACTTTAATCCCATAAGTCGGTATTTTTATTGTGTTTGCAGGTTTCTGAGTGCAACTGGCAGGTGCGGCGTGCCCCCAACCTCCGCAGTCTGTACAATGTCTGTAAGCACATGCATCAGTGGCTCAAACTGGACCAGAGGAACATCTGCATCGTGCACTGTCTGGTAGATAAATCTGTTCATGTTTACTGATGCATTTATATTAACTTTGACTTTAATAGTTAACGGATGTAGTCCTGGTGGGACGTTCGCACCCCGGGATGGAGCTGAAAGCCGTGAATGTTTGGTAAAATGTACCCGGAGGTTCCGCTAGTGGAGGCTGGCCTCGTGGGCTATCTTGACAACTGAAGTTCCCGTCGCCTCCACCTGAACTTCAGACGTCAAATAATTATTTTTAAAGCACGAGTCAGTTTTATTAAAAGGTGAAAAACAAATGTTTTTTTTTTACATGTTAATAAAGACAAATGTTAAAAAGTTTTATAAATAAGTGCATTTTTCTAAAATGCTTTAAACCCCACAAATATTCCATATATGTCTGGAACAGCGAGTGTGCGTACACACACACACATGCAGAACAAACCGGTAGATTCAGAAAAAGTTAGGATGGCAAGAACACATTTTTACCATCAAACTTCTTCGTCTGCAGGACGGCCGAGCTGCATCAGCTGTGGCGGTTTGTTCGTTCCTGTGCTTCTGCCGTCTTTTCTCCACGGCTGAAGCGGCTGTTTACATGTTCTCGATGAAGCGCTGCCCACCTGGTATAGCACCTTCACACAAGAGGTACCACACGGTTCAGCCTGGACAGCCGGGTGTTCTCAGCACTTTTATCATCTTCATTAGTCCTAATTCTCTATTATCATTTATCTAAATATTACTCTGACTCTGACTCGAGTGCTTTGCCTCCAGGTACATAGAGTATATGTGTGACATGATGGCGGAGGAGCCCATCATCCCTCACAGCAAACCTGTGATTATTCATTCCATCGTCATGACGCCCGTGCCGTTGTTCAACAAGCAGCGAAACGGGTGCAGGCCCTTCTGTGAAGTTTATGTTGGAGAAGAGAGAGTCCTCACTACTTCACAGGAATATGACAGGATGAAGTAAGTTTTCCTCTTATTTCAGTGAGAATGCTAGAAATTTACAGAGAAAACAATCACAAAACATTTTAATGTCCCGATCGTGTTGGGAGGAAGGTTCTACTGAAGCCGGCTGGGTGGTTGCCAGTTTTTCTACTTTTGATAAAACAAAGGAGGGAGTTTTGGTTGGGCTGTGAGCCCGCGGGGTCGCTGAGTCTGCACCATGCAGGGTTTTGTAAAGAACCTAAGCCGACAACAGGAGCGACCCAGAACCTATGTCTCTTATCCCTGAGAAGCTACAGCATCTTTTTGTTTTACTCTTAACATCTGGTGAGCCAAGGCCGAGCTAACAATGAATTTAGACGCAAATTTCAGCTCTAAAATGATCTCAAGCCACTTTTTCTATTACCACCAACTGGATAGTGCAGTGAAATGTGTGTGTGAAGTAAACAATGACTCAGGTGGCTTTTTACTTCCTTTATGAGTGGTTTGGATCTATGCCAGCAAGCTAACAGCAACACAGCAAACAACCACACTTATATGTAGTTAGTGCTCCCTACTGATAAACACCCCAGGAGTGCCAACACTAGATATGACAATGGTGTCTACCCATCAACTTACTGTGTATGACTCGTCTTTGCTTGTTACCTAGACTCTGCCATCTGTAACTGGCAACAGCCACGAAAATCACACAACGGGAGGGAGAAAGTGAATTTTTCTTTACAGAACATGGACTGCAGTACCAGTGCGTTTTAGTCACTGAGAAATATAAACTACTCACGGAGAGTCGGTATGGGTTCAGACCTAAAAGAAGCAAAAATGGCTTTAATTGATGCAGTTGAGGGAATCAGTAACTCAACTGATCAAAAGCATTATTCACTGGGATCTTATTTAGACTTAAAAAAGGCGTTTGATACAATAAACCAGTTTATTTAAAAAACTGGACCGATGTGGCATCAGAGGGAAATCATGACATTGGCTTCAAAGTTATCTGTCTGGGAGGAAGCAGTTATTGAAACTAGATGTTTGTTCATCCTGTCAGGATATTACTGTATTTTCTGGAGTCTAAGTCGCACCAGCCATAAAAGAAGAAGAAGAAAATATCATTTCTATAGCGCCTCTCAAGATAAAAACCACGAGGCGCTTCACAAAAACAAAAATATAAAAAAGCATTTAGAAAATGTTTAAATATGTAATAAAATGAGCAAAAATAGTCAACTGTGATTAAAAATATAAAGAAAGAGAGAGAGTGAACAGGAAAGAGGGAGATCAGTGGATCCTGAGGAAGGTGGAATAGGTGGGGAGAGCAGAATAAAGAGAGAGGTGAAGAAGGTCATCCAAAAGCCAGCTTGAACAAGTGAGTCTTCAGCTGCTTTTTAAAGGAGACCACTGAGTCCACTGATCTCAGGCTCAGGGGGAGAGAGGTCCAGAGTCTGGGGGCCACAGCAGCAGATGATCTGTCACCTTTGACCTTTAGCCTGGTGCTGCACAACCAGTAGGCTTTGATCACTGGACCTCAGGGACCTGCTGGGGGTGTAGGGACTAAGAAGATCACCAATGTAAGATGGTGCTTGTCCATGTAAGGCCCTATAGACCAGAACCAGGATCTTGAAATGAACCCTGAAGTTGACTGGCAGCCAGTGAAGCTGGAGGAGAAGCGGGGTGATGTGTAAAATGTATAATGAAGAAGGGAAAAACATATATAAGTTGCATTTTGTGAGAAATTTTATTATTTTTCTTACAAAATTTGAGACCAAGCATTTCACATAGCAAGACAAGTACCGGTAACAATAACAGTATAAACACCAGGGTGCAGCAGCGTGCCACTGTCTCCAGCAGAGATGGCGGTGTTTCAAACCCTCCCAGCAGGACAGGAGAGCTCATTCCTAGTCCGGGGCCGGCCCGCAGCAGCGCAGTATACATAATTTGGTATATAAGTCACTTTGGTATGTAAGTCGCAGGACCGTCCAGACTATGAAAAAAAGTGTGACTTATAGTCCGGAAAATACGGTACATGTGGCGTCCCACAGGGGTCGGTATTGGGCCCTAAACTATTTTTAATGTACATTAATGACATATTTAATGTTTCTCAAGTACTTAAGATGGTTCTGTTTGCTGATGATACCAACATATTTTGCTCTGATAGTGACTTACAACATCTAATACAAGAGACGAATGCTGAACTCATCAAATTAAAATCATGGCTGGATATAAATAAACTATCGATAAATATGAGCAAAACAAAACTAATCCTTTTTGGTAGACATAACACTAATATGAATTTGAATGTACAGATGGATGGAGTAAATATTGAAAGAATGAAGGAAACACAATTCTTAGGGGTAATTATAGATGGTATTAAACAAAGTGAAATATGTCTTGGTTTATAAATCACTCGGGTTACTTTATTGCTCATTAGTATTTCCATACCTTAGCTATTGTGCAGCACTTTGGGGTGATAATTACGTTAGTGCAATGCAACCATTAATAATTTTGCAAAAGAAAGCGAGTTCGAGTGGGGACTCGGCATGATTACTTCGTTCGTACATATTGCACCATTAAACAACCTGAAACAGCTGATCTAGTCAGTTATTCCTTCTTTCACACCTAATCTTCAGGGATTTTAAGATGGAAGATGGGAGAGCAGAGATCCCCCTGAATGTTACGGTCCAAGGAGATGTCCTGGTGGTGATCTATCATGCGAGATCGACGCTAGGTGGACGTCTACAGGCAAAGGTACTGACCCTGTAGCAGTGGGAACTACTAGTGATCCTGTAACGTTGCTTTGTTTAGGTGAAGATAAATATATGATTAATAATTAAAATCCTATAAAATCATCTAGATGGCATCCATGAAAATGTTCCAGATCCAGTTTCACACAGGCTTCGTGCCGAGAAACGCAACGACCGTCAAGTTTGCTAAGTAAGTGTTGTGTCCCGGCCCGATGCACGCCGTTAGAGGTCTGGTCACACTTTAAGCCTCCTTTGGCTGTCTCAGGTGTTCAGTGTGTTTTAGTGTAGTAGTGAAAGCTTGTGTCACCGTTCTGCTCTCAGGTACGACCTGGACGCCTGTGACATCCAGGAGAAGTATCCAGATTTGTTCCAGGTTAACTTGGACATCGAGGTGGAACCTAGAGACCGACCCAACGCCAGGAGTCCTCCATGGGAGGGCTTCCAAACCAAGGGCCTCAACCCCAAAATACTCTTCTCGTCCCGGGACGAACAGCAGGAGATCCTCAGCAAGTTCGGTTGGTGCTTGTTTGGTTCCGCCGTCCTCCCGCGCTCCAGCAGATGGAGATGTTCTGTTTTTCATTCATTCACTTTTAATGAGGTCATCCCGAACATGTACTCACCACAGGTAAGCCCGAGTTGCCTCGTCAGCCTGGTTCTTCTACGTTTTACGACTCAGAGTCGTCGACGCCAGCTCAGACTCCAGACAGGCTCGACTCAACGGAACCAGAATCTCCGATGAGCAGCGAGGCCACGGGCAACTTCTTCCAGACGCTGGACTGGGAAGGTCATTATTCTGGGCTTCTGCAGCCTTTCCATTCTGAATAAAACGTTCAAGAGACAGGTGAAACGGTTCCCACGGCCCGGTTCTGTGTTTGTGTAGACCGCCGAGGCTCTCAGGATGCTCCAGATTTCCAGGAAGGAGGATCCCTGAATGACCAGGAGGACATGAGCGATCAGTCGGAGGGGGAATCTTTTTCTGCTCCCAGCTTGGACACTTTATCGCGGGACCACAGTGAACAGCTGCTCGATGCGGATTTCCAGGTGAGGAAAGTCATTCACTGGAACTTCACGTGGAACCTCCACGCAGACTGACCGTGCACTCCTGTTCATTCCCTTTTTCCATCTAGACGTCGCCTCCTGCACCTCCAGAACCTCCTCGCAGTGACACTGCTGACCTCCTGGGGTTGAATTCTGACCCGGATCCCCCTACCGTGTCCTCAAACTCGTCCCAGGCTCCTAATCAAGGAGATCAGGGAGGAATGAAAGCGGCTTCCAGCAACGGTGATCTCCTCAGTGACTTGTTTGCGCCCCCTGCTGGTCAGACAGGAGCAGCACAAGAGGATTTATTCTTCAGCGATCCGACCAATGGCACCACTCCAGACTCCAAACGTAAAGGGGAATAAAATATAAACACTTTTACATAAATTCTCGTTTAATTTAAAATAACGCATTTTTTCCAATGTGTCCTCCAGCTTTGGGTGACCTGTTTGACCCGTTTGGGGTGGGTTCTGGCTCTGGTGTTGGCTCCAGTGTCGGCTCATCTCGACCAGCTTCTGGACCGGACCTGTTTGGAGACTTGTTGGGTTCAGATAGTTCAGCAACTAGTGGGTTCGGCTCAGCCCACGGTGGCACCACACCCGCCTCCAACACCAGCCTCTTCAACCTCAGTAGGTCCAGTTGTTTGGTTCCTGTGGTCCAAAAATCCTTCTGGTTCTCTGAAGTTCAGCTAAATGTCCCGCTGCTCCTTAAAGACGAGACCCAGCTGATGCATCTTTTTCTCCGTAGATAAGATTGTCAAAGATGCCCCGAAGATGACGTCATCAGCCAGTCAGCCGGACCTGCTGAGTGGGTGGGACAGCTGGGCGGCTCACACCGCCGCTGGCGTCGGCAGCACCACCAGCAAACCCAGTTCTACCAGCACAGGTGGGTGAAGCGGGTCACTGGAGGATAGGTGCGTCTAACCCGGAGTCCTGACTCTTCTAACTCTGAAGGTTTTGCGTTTGTAGCTCCTGGTGCGTCCATGTCAAAGGCCAAGTCTCAGACCTTTGACCCGTTTGCAGACCTCGGTAATCTGGGCTCTAATCTAGCAGGTAGATTAGCCTCACGTTCCCTCTTTGTTAAGAAAACGATGAAAACAAGAGCGTCAGTCGTGAGAAATGTGTTGCTTATCTTCTTTTTGTGTTTCCTTAAAGGTTCATCCAGCAGTCATTTTTCTGGGCCTGCCTTCACCTCAAAGGCTCCTCCTCCTCCTCCTCCTTCCACCTCCTCTTCCTCCTCTAGTAAGCCTCAATCCCAGGCCTGGCAGTCTGGAAGACCCGCAGCAGCCCCGAGTAAACCTTGGATGTCGGCGTCTGGATCAACACCGTCCCAGCCTGCCGCTCCACCGCCCTCCAAACCCAACTACAACCTCCACTTCTCCAGTGTGATCGGTGGGCGGGAGGAGCGGGGCGTCCGCGGGCCTGGATTCGGTACGACGGACTCCATTTGGCTTTCCGTTCGTGTTTTACCTCTTTGTGTTGACTCGTCTTTGACCTTTGTTTACCGAATAGGCCCCAAACCAAAGGTGAAGGAGGACGACTTTGAGGACCTGCTGTCCACTCAGGGCTTCGCTTCGAGGCCGGATAGGAAGGGACCGAGGACCATCGCCGAAATGAGAAAACAGGAGATTGCAAAAGACACGGATCCTCTCAAACTACAGGTAACACTCCAGATGCACGCGGCTTTAGCGGACCAGCCCGTTCATATTTCACACGAGCAGCTCCGTGTTTGTGGCTTCCTGTTTTATCCTGCAGCTTTTGGACTGGATTGAGGGCAAGGAGCGAAACATCCGAGCGCTGCTGTCCACGCTGCACACGGTGTTGTGGGAGGGCGAAACCCGCTGGAAGCCCGTGGGCATGGCTGACCTGGTGACACCTGACCAGGTCAAGAGATACTACAGGAAGGCTGCGCTGGTTGTCCATCCAGATAAGGTACGGGACCTCGTCGTCATTTAAACACTTTTGGACAGATTTGTAGTTTTATTCTCGCCGTCTTCTCAGGCTACAGGTAAGCCTTACGAGCAGTACGCCAAGATGATCTTCATGGAGCTGAACGACGCCTGGTCAGAGTTTGAGAACCAGGGATCCAAAGCACTCTTCTGAACCCCCCGTGACCAAACCACATGAGGGTTAAACTGGTCTAGATGGGACAGGACTGGGCCCACATTGGGTCATTAAGCCTCTGAGAGGTGTCCTCTCCACCGCTCCCTTCTTCCTCCTTTACCTCCCCCCCGCCCCATCCATGCCTGGCGGTGATGAAACATTCCCACCGGCTCTAAGCTAACATCGTGATTGTTCTCGAACTCACCGCCTACCTGTGCGACTGCCTGAGTGGTGCTGCATAAATCGAGAGGAGGACGGGCGATCGAGGTGATGACTAAAACAGAATCTTCCATGTTGGTGGTGAGATAGTGCTGTCTACCGGCTCGGCGGTGTAAACCGCTCAGCGTGGAAACATGAAAGCTCGCCCAGATGATGGACAACAGAAGAAGAAACACCTTCTAAGTGCTGCTGCTGCACGCGTTCGGACCACCTCTACCTTCCTGAGCCGTTTCACTGCTGAACACTAGAGCTGCTGCTTTTACTGCTCCATCCTGAAATGTCCTTTTGGGAGTCCCGTAGGAATCCAGTCAGGCGGTCTGTTATTGAAGTGCTCTTCGTTCCACACTGTGCACGCTCTTCTACACCAAACCTCTCAACCGCAGCAGGTCGGCGTTCCTGACCAGGAGCATCCAGGTTTCAGTGGCGCTGTAGCAGGACGTCTGCAGGAACAGCCACCCACCTGCCCAGTGATCACTGCTCTTTTCTTTTCCCCAAGCATCTCCATCATCGTTAAGAGTTCTGTTCTGTCTTTAAGCTCCGCCCACTTCCAGTTCACATCACAAAGGATACAGAAGTGTCTGGTTTTCTCACTATTGACCTAAAATATCACTTCAGTGTAAATTATATGATCGTCCATCAGGTGGCTTTGTGAAGAATCCAGTCTGCAGGCTGGATTGTGTGAGTGTGTGTATGGAAGTGTAGAAGTAGGTGAGCATCATGCTCTCCAGCTTGTTCATCATCTGATTTTCTTCTTGCTCTTTCCTGACTTTTCCTCACGGACCAATCAAATCACTTAGTTTCTTATTTATTCTTAAGTTTCGTTGAAGATCTGAGGGTATATTCATCAAAATGAACGGCACAAGTTGAAAATTCATTTAATATATGTATATAAGTGGAACGTGTGGGTCACCTTGAGCCTTTGTTGCTGTTTTCATTCCAAAGCATCAGATGTTAATAGAATGTGCTTTTGCAGTCTGTCTGTGGTTTAGTCCTCTAACGTCTTCACTTTTCCCCTTTTTAAGGTGGAAGTGAAGTTTCTTGTGCTGTGTCTGGGGGGGGGGGTCAGAGGTGAATTACTGATGCTTGAGACGTGGGTCGTGGTGGTGAACACCACTCATCAGCAGTGTTTACTGTACCAAATGACATCATACTAATATGAATGTAAATTTAAATGTAAAAAGAAATAAAAGAACATCTTTTGATCTGAGACTAATTTCTTGTCTCGTCTGTTTTTAACATCAAAGCGCCGCTGCCATAAAAGCTGGTTTTAGTTTTTTAGTCATTAGCAGCTTTCAGAGCCTCCAGCTGGAAAACGTCATTTAAATTTAATCTGATATAATTTTTATTCGTTTTTTGTTACTTGCTGATTTAAGATCTTAAAATCTCAAAAAACATCAAACTACTTTAGGACTTTATTCTCAGATAGTATAATCTTTTTTATATAAATAAAAAAGTTCTGATAACTTTCTTTTTGTTTTTTTGCCTTTAATCTTAGAAAATTAGATTTTGTTTTCTTTCAGATTTCAAAATGAAGGAAAGTTAATGTTTGTATAGATATGACAATAATCTTTCTGGGTTTCTTTTAACACCAAAACCCTTTTTAATGTTGATGTATGAAGAACTCTTCATCAATAAATATGTAAAGAAATGTTGAAAATAATTAGATTTGTTTAATTAACTGTTTGTTTTATTTCCATTTGCAGCATTACTTTATTTACATTTTTTATTTGTCTATTTTGGAAGGAGTCCTCCATATTAATGATTAAATACATAACCCATCCAAAGCAAAGGTCACCAACCAAGTGTCTAGGGGGCCTGGGGTAACATGGAGAACGCGTGACACAAAAGAAAATTAACAAAAGTTTTATTTACTTTTCTCTTAATTCAGAAAAGATGTCTATTATTATTGCTAACCACCATGGATCTAAATCCCCTTTTATCAAAACAGGTTCAAACAGTAACATAACTCTAAAGAGCACAATATCAAAGTTCTAAGTGGGAGACAACAGACCAGAGGAAAGGCAGCTCTGCACTATTGTCCCCCTTGGTGAGGAGCTCCAGCTGGTCCTTTAAACAATTTGCAGCTGATGAAAACCCAGCTCAGCTGGTGCAGGGAGGAGCAAGGGTGAGCCAACAAGCCATAGTCTGCAGGCAGGCTCCTCAGATGCAACATAAAAATGCACAGAAAAATGAAATCACAACACAAAAAGGCTCCAGCCGTAACAGTGTGTCGTAATCAAAGCTAAAGGCAACATGTTTGTGGCCGGGCTGTGTGTGTGTGTGTGTGTGTGTGTGTGTGTGTGTGTGTGCGTGCAAAACAAACACAACCTGATTGATTTTGTTCATGATTTTAAAACTAATGAGCCTGCATGATGGGTCTGAGCGCTCACGACGCGTAATCCTGAGAAAAACGATGCAGGACTTGATATCATCATCATCATCACCTTTATTTATAAAAGCACCTTACAGACGTATATCATGTCACCAAGGTGCTGCACAAGACTAAGCTAAAAAGATAAAAACAAGAATATATAGGAACCCAATAAAAAAATTTAAAACAGCAAAATACAAAACATCTGCTAACACAGATTTAAAAGGCAGATTATAATAACGGGTCTTCAGCGCCGCCTTAAAAAGCTCTACTGACCTGGAGAGTCGCACAGATTATGGAAGATCATTCCATAATTTTATAAATGATCGTCTCTGTACTTTCATCTGTATTTTACCCCAAAACACGATATTTTGTGTTTTTTTCTTTATATAAAACTTCTTCAACAGGAATACATTTTTAATCATTCACCAGTTTTATGAAACAGACAAACTAAAATAAAAGAAGAGCCCACTCCTCGGTCACGGTGAGTTACAGATTTATTTCAAAGACAGAGACGGCCTACAGCTCGACAGTCACCCTCCTGTCAGCTCATCTCCCCTCAGCATCGTCGGCTTTAACATCAAAACACTTCTGCTTCACTCCGACTTTACAAAAACACTTAAAAAGAAGAAACTTTATGATTTGATTGTTATCCTCACACCCGTGTTAGCGTTGGCACTTAGGAGGGAGAGGGTGAGGGACAAAGGGAAGGTGGTTGAGCTTGTTTGGAGGTTTATAAAAGACCAAGTGAGGGAAAAAAGTGAACGAGGAAGACATTTCCTTTTCTAATAAGCATTAAAACATCAGAACTGATCGGAAATGTTGCAGCGCCTAGAAAATGCAACCTGTGTTTGCCATTTGGAGGCAGAAATAGAAACATGATAAAAAAATGTCACCTTTTTCTTTTTCTTAAGAGCGTTTGACCTCTTAAACATCTTCGCGTCACAGCACACCCAAATTCCCCGTGTGGCTTTTCTGTGTGGTTAAAATGAGCCACGGCTGGTTTCTATCCATGCATCTCCGCTGCTGCCTTGAGAGCCTCCGCCTCTGCACGGTGACATCTGGATTGAATGTTTCAACGGAACCCGGGGCAGGAAAGGCACTTCAAAGTATGGATATCCCTTCGATTTCCTGGCCGTTTTTGTCCGATGCCTTAAAAAATGAAACAGGTCTGGTTGACGCCCCGGGAAGTTTTGAGTCCTCCGAAATAACTAAATAGAACAGGGCACCTGAAAGCAAACAAGCCTGGTTAGATCTCTGTGAGGTGTGCAAACTAATAACATGTGTTGAAGCTCAATCTGTTAAAGGAGACACATCATGACATGTTTTCTGAATTTCTAATAGTTCTATGGTCGATATGAAACATGTTTATGAAGTTTTTTTGCACTAAATACCTCCCACCTGAAGCAATTTCAGCAGTTTTATTATTGACATTTTCAGTACCTTCCAGAATGAGCCGTTTGAGGGCTCTGTCACTTTAAGAAAACAAGCTGAAGATGGCCACACCCACCCATCCCCTGATCAGGCTGCTATAAGCTGAAAATCTGTGGGAGGAGCTCTGAGTAGAGCTGCTGATGTTCTGTTGCACATGAGAGGCAGGACTACTGTACTTTCCCCGTTAATGACATCACAAACAGGGACTTTTTGAAACTTCATTTTAGGCACATCATTCCTAAAACCAAACACTGACAGGAAACTGATGGATGTTTTTTTTTTCACTTCCAGGTGGCAACACAACATGATGCAAAAGGTGAGTTTTGTATAACAATCTTTTAAAAGACTTTGTGACTCACAGAAAACGAAGGTCTCCTGAGATTTGTGGTTTATCTCTAGCCTTCAATTGAAACTTCTGGAACAATGTGTCCATTCAGAGCTGTTTCCACTGAAATTTCCTAAAAAAAAAAACAAACAAAAGACAGATCACTAAATGTTCTACTAGAAATAGCAATTAGCTGAAGGGATTTGACACCAACGTGATTTAACTTGAACTAATTCTGTCTTAAAGCAGCTTTCCGGAGTTTTCCCCTTTCAGAAACGATGTAAGATTTTTCAGAAATCCGTAAAAGTGAATATCTTATCATGCACTCTGATATAATATAAGCAATATGTCTTTTTGTTGTTGCTAAGCACGCCCCCTGCCTCGCAGAGCTCCGTGCAATAGGAAACTGAGCGCTGATCAAAACTAACCAATAGCGTTAGACTACCGCTTAGATGCTTCACATTTAAGGAAGTACCTCGGCTGATGCAGAGCTGATGAACTTTTCACGGAGGAGTAAAGCTTGGTTTATGCTTGACGCGTCCGCGAGGTTCGCACGGCTCCGCGCGGCGAAATTGCGTCATTTTAACAACCACGCCCCTCCACCGCGTCTCCGCACGGCCCAAACTTTCCGCACCGCGCACCTAGGACATTTTCTAACCAAGCGGACAGTCGGACGCGGAAAAACATGGCGGACCAGCAAGAACTAGTATGGCAGAGGTTGGTAAATACAGACATTTGTATGATTCAGCTCTCAGAGATCACCGTGATCAACATGTTAATAATTCTTGGAGAGAAATAGCTCGCACTGTCGGAAAAGACGAGGACGCTGTTAAAAATGCTGGAATGCCATGTTGTAAACAGTAATTTCTACTTCTACTATGGTGTAGTGTTGGATGCATGCCGTAGAGCTCCATGCTGCCCCCTACAGTTTGGGAGAATATTGGCTCACCGCAGAGACGAGCCGCATGAACCATAAACGCTGCGAGTTGTGAAGCGCGTTCCATCCGCGAGCCGCATCACCAAGCGAGAAGTAAACGCGTCAAGCATAAACCAAGCTTAAGTCTCTAAAATATAAATATATAAGAACACAGCACGACATGAGAATATCACTCGTTTTAGCCGTTTGTCGCTACAGAAGCACATTTATAAACAGAAACGTGAAGTCGCCATCTTAAACAGAGCAACAGACTTTTTGTGTGATATGCTTGTCAGCCACTAGATGGTGCCATTGGATAAGAGAAATACTCCGGAAAGAAGCTTTAAACAACAGTTGGACAGATACATGATCTCTGATCTGTAAATAACATTTTCAGTTGTTGTTTTTTTACTCCTGGAGAAAATAAACCACTGCAGAAATTATGGTGTGATTTTGATGCTGATTTGACACAATTTTATTCTTTTCTGTTTAACCTGGTTGATTTACCACTGAACCGAGCTGCACAGACTTCACCGGGAGCTGAATGAGACACGTTGCATCACAGGCTTCTGTCTTTGGTTCCTCTGATGAGGCGCTCAGACTCGTCTGCTCAGCAGAATTACTCTGCATAAGACAGAACAGAGTCCTTGCATCAGGTGGTTTAATGCTGCACAAATTTAAAAACTAGAAGAACAATGCACAGCACAGGAACTTACAGAGACCTCGTCCTCTGGAGGTGCAGCAGCAGCAGGACTCACGTCTCTGGACTCTGTTCCAGCGATGATAAACTCCTAAAACCACAGAAGAAGAACTTTGCTGTGATTACCACACTGGCTTCATTTATAAATCATTTCAATCCCATAAGATCAAAATGCTGCAGACAAAAAGGAAACAGCATCATGATACAATACCCCCCCCCCCCCCCCCCCAAAAAAAAAAGCTACTCAATTACAGTGACGTGAGTAAATGTAATTCGTTACTTTCCACCTCTAAATAAAACCCAGTTTAGTGGATCTCACCTGCTGGATGACAGCTGATGCTGTTAGAGCGCCCTCTGCAGGCCGAGCACGTGCTGTGACATCATCAACCTCCTGATGAAAACAGAAGAGGCGGATGTTCCCAACTTTAATAGCTCATTCCTGATTGGAGCAGGATTTTACAAAGATAAAATTTTACATAGTCATGAAGACAAACTCCGGCTCCGACCTCTTTGGTTTCACTAACTTCAGCTTCCTTCACCTGCTGAGACAGGAAATTCTGTGATGTCATCAGTTTAGACAAACGCAGCATTATCAATACATCATGACTTCTTTAGTTCTTGTTCATACCTCTGGGATTCCTGCAGACAGGACAGGAGCCTCCTAGTGTAAACAGAAAAAGCACAACAACAATAACTAAATTCCACTGAAGGGATGAGACACGATCAAATCGAGGACTTTAGTTTCACCTCTGCAGCTGCGTCTTCCAACACCTCCTCCTGAATCGAAGCTGCAGGGCTCGGTGACTCCTGTTCAAGTTCAGGTCTCTCTGCTACAGCCGCCACCATCGATCCATCAGCCACATCTGCAGCAGCTTCTGCTTCGGCTGAAACGTGATTGCTAAGATCTTCAACTGCTGGATCTTCACTGGGTTCCCTCACATGTTCTGGTACTGAGACATCTTCTGTGACGGCCACCTCCAGTTCCACTTTATCCTCGGTGACTTCCTCTGAGAGGATCTCAGCCTCTGGTGCACGGACGTCATGCGTCTGCACATTTAAATCATCACAGGATGTGATAAATAAGCAAATGATTGAACAAAGGTGTCACACTTTTGTTGTTACTGTGCAAAAATACAGAGAATGGCAACAGAACCTCACCTGTTCAGTCTCTGGTATTGATACGACGTCCACTGTCTGAGTCAGGAGAATGGAAAAGGCATCATCAGATCATCAGAACACTTATATATATATATATATATATATATATATATATATATATATATATATATATATATATATATATATATATATATATATATATCTGATATATCTGAGGCTAAATTACTTTTTCCTATTAGATGGGATGGCATTTTTCCAACTCAAGGACTGTCTGAGGTCCAGCTGCTGCTGATGCAAACTTACAAGACGAGCAGGAAGACTGTTTGGTTCGACACACGCCTGCACTCACCCTGAAGTGCTTTTGACAGCGATTTTGAACGGTAGCTAATTATTGCATTCTGATCTGTCCTTGGGTTTTTTTTTTTAGTGAAACACGAATAAATCTAATTTTTTGAAACAAAATCAGACAGAAGATCAGGTGAGTTTTCCTGGTTGTTCAGGCCAACTTTGAATGCAATATTATAATCTATGAATAAACTTCTCAGTTATAACAACATCTCTTCTGCTGTTGCTTGGCAGGGACACCATACAAGGAGAAGGGGCGGAGGGCAGTTCGAAGGGCTCATGACTGACAGGAGGCCCAGTCATTTATTTATTTAATCAATTAAAGACCAAGTTCCCTGAGAAACCGATTTTTACTTATTTTTAAAATAGGATCGGTCAAGAGTTTAACACGCAGGCTGAATGTGAAAATAACCTTTTACCACTATTCCCGGCATTGGCTGCCGATAGAAAATAGACGGGGCAACGCTGGGATTAGGAACGCCAGACAGGTCTACGTCACACTGTCGGTTCAGACTTATGGACTCACCCATCTTGACTTGTGACGGGGAAGGCGGTTGTTGCTTTAATGTCCAGCAGAGAGCAGAGAACGTCTCGGTTAGTTCAAGCTAACCGTTAGCATTAGCAACTCCACCACACAGCAGAACTCCTTCAGGCGTGTGTTATTTGTGGAGAAAAAGCATCAACGCTGCAAACAGAGTCAGTGTTGTTGCTGTTAGCCAATCAGAGGCAAGATGTCTGATTATCATAGCCTAGAAATCTAGACAAACAGCAGCAGAAGCAAAATGATTTAGCTTCTCGTGTTGGTCTAGCGACGCTCCATTGGAACCTCTTCAGCCCTGATCGGTCTTGTGGCTGGCCAATCACAGCGCTCTGTTGGTGTGGTGGGTGGAAGGATGTGACCAACAACTCAAGTGGCGATGGCTTGTTTGAAAGGCTTTGGCATCAACTTTGGACTATTTAGAGTTTTGTTTGAGTCAAGAGCTGATGGAGGTACTTTAGTCCTTTGTTTAGAAAAAGGATGTGTTTGTGTCTGTCATCCATAGCGTTGAGTACATCACGTTGTTCGTTTCCTGTCGTGTTCTGCTCACCTCTCCTCTGGCTCACTTTTAGTTCCTGAAACAGGAGCACACGAGCTCGTTGTTCCAACAGAGACCGACTCGCAAGGCAACTGCTTTTACTAGAGACCACTGCATTTGTATGGAATAAACTGAGTGAAGCTGGTCTTTAAAAAAACCCATGAGACAGCCCCCGGGGGGGTTGCTGTTATTTTATTATCTTAACTTCTGAAAGATATTTTGCTGATTCATCTTGGCAGAAAACTACATTATTCCTGGTTCTTAGCAACTCCTTAAGGTGTTCCAACAAACATATTTTTACAGAAAAAGGATCCAAACCGGCTTCGTTTTGTAGGTGTCAAGTCAAGTTATTTTCATGAGGTACGTTCTGCCGCTGGCTACTCAAACATGCGCAGCCGCCAGTTCATGTGGGGGGGGGTTGAAGGACAGAAATGAGTGTAGAAATGTGAAATGTGCCTAAAACAAGCTGGTTTTACTTCAGTCGCTGCAGGAGCCCCCACTGGAGCCTCATCTGGAAGTCTGATCTGGGAAGGAAACCGGGCGAGGACTTCAGTACAGTTTTATTAAGATGAACATGCATCCATTTAAAACAGACACTAGTTAGCAAAACATCCCATCTCATGAAAAATGCACACTCAGCTGCCTCCCTGACTTGTGACGTTTTAAAAGGTCACGCTTTAGGAGCGGCATGCACAGGAAATGTGCCTAAAGCCAAGCAAGCGTCTACAAAGCAGTTTGTGCAGAGTGTCGCTGTGAAGGCTTGAAGGCATTTAACAGAAGAAGTGAGAGATCTAGCAGGTTTTCTGTCCGTAAACGGAAATGCAGGCCCAAATGAGATCTGTGAGAAAAGCTGCGAATGGGAGAGACGTTCTGCTTCTTATAGAAATCCTGCAGCCAGTTGCATGATGGGAAAGTACGACTCCCTCTTTCCAGTCACTTTGTGTAACTTGCAGCTCAGATCTTTCTCTAACACACTTTTTGAGTTCATTGATGTTTGGATGCTCTTTTATTTAGAGAAAGAAGAAAAAGAAACACTTCTGATTCAACTTCAATCAAAACTTCACAAAACTGTTGAATGAACTCTGCCTGTGTTGTTTTTTCTGTTCAAATTCACCTGAAAATTCCTGGAAACGTTTCTAAAAGTCTTCGTGCTCCGCAGCTTTTGAGTCCCTTATAGCAGCAGCCTAAATGAGCGCTGGGGCGGCACTCGCAGTGCAGCCAGGTGCATTGAGCTGTGGTGGCAGTCTGAGGGAGAGGCACATAAATACTGCAAGTCTTCATAGTCTGATGGTAAATTATTTAGTCTATCTTGTGCCGGTTGCTGCATGTAGAGTGAGCAAGCAAGGCCCCTCTTCCTGATTTCATTTATTTATTTCAATCATCCAGTTTTTCAAAAGTCCGTTTAGAGCTATTTAGAACAAGCCAATAGGAGTTGTCCATGCAGGGAATGCTGCACGTGTTGTCAAAGCATCTGGGTAAAAATGTTTGTGCATGCTTCGCCACAATAAAATGTTCTTATTTTACTCTCAAAAATCCCCTACAATACAACTAATTCCAACGTTGTTCGTTCTGTTTCATCCCATCACGCCAAGCAAGGAACCGCCGGTAACGGAACGAAACATCGATGAGCATCTGCAGGTTGTGGAAAAGATATAAAGCTTAAAAGAAAACGGAGGGAAGGGAAGGGTGGGCGCTAAACTGGAAAGGGTGGAGGAAGTACAGAAGTAAGAATGGACACAACATTCTAACTAGAAGCTGCATCTTCTGCTGAAACCCCTTTGATTCCTGAGCTGGTTGACACTAATAAAACTGCAGCAATAAGTTTAGCAATAAAGAAAAATACATAGAGAACTAAACATATGCTGGAGGACATGAAGCAACACGTTTGCAGTCGTCTCTGGTCTAAATAAATCCCTAGTGAGTCATTCTCTGAGAGATAAAAGCTCTGGCATTCCTGTTTCAGGAAGTAGAATTGAGCCAGAGCAGAGGTGGGCAGAAGACGACAGGATTTGGAGCCTTACTTCCTGATATTCAGACATCTCACCTCTGATTGGCTAACAGTAATGCGACTCTACCACTGACTCTGCTTTGCAACGCAGATTTTTTTCTCCACAAATAACACAAGCCTGAAGGAGTTCTGCTGTGTGGTGGAGTTGCTAATGCTAACAGTTAGCTTCTACTAGTGAGACGTGCTCTGCTCTCTCCTGGATGCTAAACCCACAACAGCCTTCCCCCTCGTCCAGGAATGTAAATTTTCTGTGTGATGTACCTGACTGGCGTTTCGAATCTGAGCGTTTTCTCGTCTGTTTTCCACCTGGGATTAATGCAGGGAATAAGTGTAGAAGACTATTTTAATGTTTAGCCTGCATGTGAAACTCAGAGTGGGCCTTCATATTTAAAAAACAAGTTAAAAAATGGGTTACTCGGTGAACTTGGTCTTTAAACATTTCAATTAACCAAAGAGGATTGAGATCAGTGAAACATGGGGTGTTTTTCAAAGCCAAGGAACCTGCCTTGATGTCGTGGCCCCGCCCCGGTTGCCTAGGAGATACGTCATCGGGAGCCACCAAGACGTGTTCCAATGTTCATGTTCTACCGAGGCGTGTGTTCTCCGTTTGTTAGCCGTTTAGCTAGCTGAACAAGGACACACGAGAGGTGTCTTGTAGCCTAGCCTTGGTCAAAAATTACCCAGAATACACCGCGGTATTTTCAAAAGGACGGCGGATCAGAAGCCGGCGGCTACTTCGGGGACGATTTTCAAGTTTAAAAGTAAGTCAACTAATTTAAAATGTTTTTTTAGATCCAAAGAAGTTATCTATGGTTGGTTAGCTGCAGCTTCGGTGGCTAGCGGGTAGTAACTCACTTACATATTTAATTTAACAAACATATACACAATTTAAAAAGTAAAAGGCTCGTTATATATTTATATTGAAACGTATACATATAAAACATAACGTTAACCTCGTGTCACCTGACGTTACGTGACCGCCGTGGAAGCCGCGGCCACGTGATGCAAGTCTGTTCCATTTAACCGTTTTCTTTGACCAAGGAAGGACCGTGTCCTGGTAAGTGAGGCGCCTGGCTAACCCTAACACACGCAAGACATCGCCTCACAAGGCCAGGCGCCTTGACGCTGAGAAACGCCCACTAGGAATGTGCATTGTAGGTAAACTTGACTCTGGTCGTGCAAAAAACAACTATCCAAGTTTTGCTGAAGGAAAGCATCCTCTCCCTGAAACAAATGTCTGCAGGCTGCATCAGACACAGAAGTAAAGGTACGATCATGTCCCTACGTTCCTCAAAACGGATCACATCGAACACTTTGTTCCTTTGGAGCCGTCACCAATTATTGTCTCCCACAACTAGCATGCCAAGCTAACAGCAATATGTGTCTATATGCATGAAGTTATTAAAAATGTAAAAAGCTTGTAAAACTGCAGAAATGTGCCGTCATTAGGAGGCATGTGATTTTGATTAGACCCTAAAGGATATCGGTGATTTGGTAAATCTCTGTGGGAAACTGGGGATAAATGAACAAGTAGAAGATCTTTCTTACCTCATTTACCGGTTCTGGTTCAGGAACATCAAGTTCAGCCTCCTGTCCTACGCCTGCTTCATCTGTAACAGACTCAACTGGTGGCGTCCATCCAACTAGTGGTGCTTCAGTGATGTGAGCTTCAGCCTCAACCTCCGGGTGGATCTCAACTTCCACTTCTGCAGGAACCTGCAGTAACAACTCAACATCCGGCTCTTTCGTCGTTACTTCGGCCTGGACTGGCTCGGCAACAGGTTCTTTCACCGCCGGCTGTGGTTCCACTTTGGGAGTCTGCACAACAGGAACAGTGATGGGAATGACCCGTGGTTTGTTTTCTGAAGGGGGAGACGCAGGTTCAGGCACTTTTGTGGGAGTAGTTGTCGGGGGTGCACTGACTGCGGTCCCTGGGCTGGCTTTGGTTGGTGGATTGGCTGCATGTTGCTCTTCGAGTGCTCTCCTCTGGGCTTGCTGCAAGGAGGAAAACCAAATGACATCATTACTATCAAAATGTGCTTCTAAGTGTGTAAAACTTCATGTTTCTCTGGTTTATTTAAACTAAAATGCCAGTTTGGGAGGTTTAAGCACAACTGAGACCCGTATCAGTCCTGCACTGATGCTGCTGACAGGCCGAGGTTCATGCCAGCACACCCGTGTCTACAGCAATACCAGGCACACCATGTCCCAGCCAGGTCCAACACATATTTCCAGCTCTGGACAAAACCCCCTGGGCTTTGATGGAGGTTTTAGGAAAGCAGAATGGGGACAACTGGGAGTGGACTTAGCAAAGCTAGTTAGATAATGGGAGCTAATTAGTTGAATCAGAGTCATCCTGACAGGTCTGGTGAAGCGGGAATAGGAACTGTGCGAGTCAGCAGCGACCGGTGCCCCGTGGGCCAGACAGCAGGTCTAATCACTTCATAATCACGTTATAATCACTCCCCCAAAATGCTTTTGTTAGGCTGACAGCCCCAAACGTGTGTGTGTGTGTGTGTGTGTGTGTGTGTGTGTGTGTGTGTGTGTGTGTGTGTGTGTGTGTGTGTGTGTGTGTGTGTGTGTGTGTGTCCAGCCAGCTCCAGTCAAAACAACCTCTTTGTTATCAGCATTAAGCTCGATATCAGAAACTCTGAACCTGACAAACACGGAGGGATAAATTATTCAGAGAATCAGAGTCAGCGTCGAGGCTAAAGGAGGAGACGAGGACTCGGCCTGATTTAGCGGACCCTAATCTTTCAGTTGCTCTGCTGTTGTTGATAGTGGAAAGCTAAAAATGACTTATGAGGTTGTTTTTATCCGAGTGTCAACACCAGACTTTGAGACTGAAGGAGGCTGTGCAGCATCCAGTCTGGCAAAGCTATTCCAACACATTCCTAGTCCACACATGACCAAATACAGCGCTGAGACAGCAGAGGCTGGGGGATAGGACCCGAGTGGTTAAAGCATGGGAATAAAAACTACACAATGGGTCGTTGTTAATACCTACAGAAGTGAGATGGAGTAACTTTTTCACCTCTCAACCACACCCTCCTCTCGGCTTTGAGCACTATGTTCACAATCATCTTCCCTCTGGGGCTCGAGAACTTTCAGAAGAGAACAGAAGTGGCACAAAATCTCATGTCTTCACTTTTTACATTTTCTTGCATTAAATGTTCGGATATTTTCACAGATTTTTGGACATAAATGTCTAAATTAACATTAATAATTTTCTTTTAATTTGAGCAATTTCGCACTTTTTGTGTGCACAGAGCAAAACTTTTACATTTCTGAACATGAAACTAAAACCAGAAACTTGCTTTGTTTATTTGTTGCATGACTGCAGTTTATTTGAGTTAATTTTCTGTTCTCTATTTGAGCTTTACGCACAAATTAAAACGATTTTTGCTCTTATTTGAGTTTTTACGCAAGAATTAAGACTATTTGTGATCTCTGACCTTTTACGCATATTAAGACCATTTGCAGCCAACACAACCAATAATTAGGAAAAACAAATGCGATTCGTTATACTTTTTGATTCCTGTTACATTTTTTATTTTGCATTATGGAAACCATCATCACCCGTTTTAGTTTTTGCATATTTTACCAACCTTTGCATAGTCTGAAAAGCGAATAACAGCACGAATCATGATTCATGAAAACACACGACCAGAATAAACGTCAGTAATAAAACTGCGCGCGCCACCACTCACCACCCTCCTCATGCGACGCTTGTTCTTCTTCCTCTTGCTGGGCATTTTGATTTGTGTTATTTAGAACCAGAAAGAGAAGCAGCTAGGCAGAGTGGCTGTTTATAAAGCTCCCAGCCTCTCCGCTACCTTTGGGCCAAGCCTATAGGAGCGCTGGGACGCAGGATGGAGGCGTGGAGACGCAGAGCGCGACTGGCCAGGACGCATGAGAGCGCAGTCACGTGTTTGGATGTGAGTCCTGCAGCCTAGAGTCGGAACGGTGGGTTATTATGTAAGACCTCCATCAAAGAGAAGAGAGAAAGACAGAGAGGTCTGAAGACTAGGGATAGTTTTTGGCACTCTGCGTTTTTCAAAACTCTATTTTTTAACTTTATTTTTGTCAGATGTTGAATCAGAAGATGAAAATTCTTTGAAAACAAGAACAAACTACGTTGAGATGGCGTTCACTTTTGTCAATTGTTTTGGAGTTTATTAAAAATCAAGAAGACAAATTAAAGCTTTCGTTGTTTGAGCTTTGGAGAACACAAGAAAAAAAGCTGTTCACGCCCCCTTTGGACATCTGAGAGGACCCATTGGGCACAGCTCCTTGGGATGCATGCATAAATAAAAATGCATTCTTCTTGTTCGTGGGTTAGAGAAAAAACCCTTAGGATTCACTTTTAAGAGGAAGTAAACTTATTTTTTTCTAGCTTTTGGTCCAACACAGGCTCATTTGACTTTATTCAACATGACAGTTTTCCCCTGAAGGCTTGCAACTTGATTTAATCCTCACAAGGTGAGTGGATTTTTAAAGAGTGATTCAACACCTCAGCAGCATGTTCACGGTGAACATGATGGTTTAACACCGCGTTGACGTTAACTTTTTGCCTCTGCTGCAGCTTTAAGATGACAAAGTGTCAAAGCCAGTAAGGAACTTGGTCCCAACTGTAACTGGATCCTGCTGTGTTGCGCCTCTAAAACATCATTTGCAAAAATTGAGAGTTTATGAGTAAGTTCACATACTGTTGTCGAGTTGTTTGTAGTTTGCGAGCCTTTAAACTGCAAATTAATCAATTTCCCTCTGGGATTAATAAAGTATTTTTGAATTAAAATGAATTGAAATTAACATTTTTGCAGAGCAAAAAAAAAAAGCAACAAAATCGTACACATGCGATGTTGCATTAGCGGATGTTCACAGAAAACTCTGAGCTGAGTCGGTTCAGCAGGTTCATCTCATTACTCAGCAGAAGCTTAAATTTAAATGAAGCAGAAGAATCTGCATTAAAGAATGAATTAAACACATTATGGTGAAGAATAAAAGCAACTTCTGTTAGAAAATTTAAGATCTTGCAACATGGCACCAGACTAAGGCAGGTTAATCAGATGATTTATGTAACATATATTATAATTATTGGATTTAGGGATGCACGATATATCAGCATCAATATTGGTATCGGCCGATGTGAGTCTTTTTTTAACATATCGGTATCGGTCTGATAAGTAAAACTGGGCTTGTTGAACAATTTGTTAACAATGAGGTTAAAAATTCAACTTGCATCATTTCCAGTATATCCAAAAACTGATTTGAGAAGCATAAATAGATAAATGTACATATTCCTTGGTGTCCCTCGCACTAAGTGACAAACTCGTGGGGACCAGGCTTTCTCAGTCCAAGCCCCATTGCTGTCTACCTCTTTGCCAGTTTTTACGAGTCGACGGAAAACACATTTTTTTCGATTAGCGTTTCCAGAACATGTTTGAAGTCGGCTTGCTTTTATGTTATTTTTAGTTCTTGTTTGTAATTGCTGTTTTATTCCTTGTTAGTTTGCTTTTATTCATTGTTTAATCCCTTTGCCTTACGCTCTACGTTTTAACTTCTCTTTTTATGACTTTATGTCATTTTACAATGTGTTCTAGCGCCTTTGGTGCCCGAAAAGGGTTGTGGAAGGCGTTATCTATAAATAAAGCTTTGATTGATTGATTGACACACACACACACATACGTATGTGTATATATACTGTATATGTGTGTGTGTTTACATATATATATATATATGTTTACATATCGGTGCATCCCTGAGTGGATTACATCAATGAAAAAGTTGTAGATTGAACAATGTGTGTTTGGCGCTAAATGGCGAAAGGAAGAATTTAAATCATTAATGTTAACAGTATCTTATACGGATAATGCTTGTTTTCAGGTTCTGGATTTTTAAATGTGGAACACAAGAATCAAGATTAAGCAGATTTAAATAGAAACCTTAAGTCACGGGGGAAATGTTGAAGTGAGAACCCTTTTCCTGTGAAGTCAAAAGCTGTCAGCCGGTGAGAAGAGAATCAGCACCTAGACACAGATCTGGGATGTTTACCGAGTTATCCAACAACTGCTCCGACTTCAGGAACACACAGGGATGTAGTCTGTCAGCTCATGGTTACCATCACTGACCCATCAGTGCACACGCACACACACACACACACACACACACACACACACACACACACACACACACACACACACACACACACACACACACACACACACACACACACACACACGCACGCACACACACACACACACACACACACACACACACACACACACACACACACACACACAATCACAGGGCAGAGAGTTCTACATATCAGTCATATTATTTGTCAAATACAGACTGACGTGCACGAATGTTGTTCAAAACTCCCCGAGCAGCGCATACCGACATTCCCATCCATCTCTTTTCCTATTATCTTTGTCTGCTCAGCCTCAGGCAGATTTCTTCCTCCGAACTTGTTCCAGGATCTTAAATGTGTTGCATCTTTCAGAACTGCAGAATCCAAACATGGCGAACTAAATTCAAACACTAGAAGGATTCTCTGACCTAAACTTTTAAATCTACGTGAATGAATTAATTTGTTATTACTGCTCTCAGTTTGTCCTTTAAATGGTCTGTGTACCAACAGTAAGCACCTTCAAGATCCTATTGTGATGCCGTGTGGGTCTCTACTAGGGGTTGTATGAACTAGTCGACTAGTCGACTTCACGGCTCTGTAGTGACTTTTTATGCCTGTCATCGACTAGTCGCTGTCACGTGATAATGACCGACAAGATGCAGTTCTCGGAAAAGACGGGGGGGGGGGGGGGGGGGGGGGGGGGTGCAAGTGCAGAGTCTTGAAACGGCTCATCCTGGAAGGTACTGAAAATGTTGAGAATAAAATGGCTAGAATAAATTTATCTAAGAAGGATTTTGTGTAAAGAACTTCATAAACTTTTTGTATCGATCGGACAATTGCAACTTTAAAAAAGTCATAGTATGTTTTCTTTAAACCAATACAAGGTATTTAGGCTTAAATGTAAAAAAAACTATTGGTAAAAAATTTTATGTCACTTTATTGCAGGCTGCTTCAGCGCTCACGGCACGTTCTCCTCTGAGCCCACGGACCATCAGTGGGTAGCACATGCCAGAAATACACATTTAGGTCAACCGGTGATTAAATTTTCCTTAAGAGTTAGTGAGTGTGAATGGTGGTGTAACTTGTCTCCATTTGTCCCTGTAATGGACGCGACATGTCCAGGATGTGCTTCACCTCTTCCCCCAATGACACAGAAAGACATATGGGAAAGTGTCTATACCCCCAGTTGGTCATGGTGGACGGCTGCTCGTAATGAACCAGGTTCTACTGGAGGTTTCTTCCTGTTAATGGGAGTTTTCCTCCCCACCGTCGCTACATGCTTGCTCAGGATGAGGGATGCTTTAGAGTCCTTGACACAACAAGTCAGTGACTCGATGCAATCTGCTGGGCTTCTTTAAAATGAAATCTTTTAACTGATTGGAAAAATGTTTAATAATTAGGTTTAATTGGAATGTTCGCTATGTAAAGTGTTCTGAGAGGACGTGCGTTGTGAATTTACTCCATATAAATAAACCGACTTAAATTAAAAGCCCCCCCCCCCCCCCCCCCCCAAAAAAAAACCTTATATTAGAAACAAGACCACCCAGTAATTTCAAACAAACAGAGAAAATGTCAAAGAATCACAAAAGTAACTCATCTTGACTCAGGCCTAAACTCATAGGGAGCCTAAACCACGCCCATCTATTTCCAGACCACGGGACCCTGGAATGATGAAAAAATGTAGGGTTTGGTAAATTGAGTGCTTTAAGAGCTTAATAGATATTTTACCTCTACTTATGACCAATAAGCTGAGATACTCTATCTAAATATAGAATGTCTCCCTGCCTGGTTTTTATTGTGCTTTAATGAGAAGATTCTAGGATTCTTTATTTATTAGGGGATTGTACACACTTCGTTTTGATTCAGAAAACAGTCAGGTTTATAAAAGTAAGAATTTATTTTACCAACAATAAAAACATGACAAATTAACTACGCATTTACTGTGATGGATGGAACTAGATGTGATGTATGAACCTATGTGTGAATGCGATGTTAGTCAGAACTTCCGTATCTCGGAGAGCTGCGTTCTGGATGTAAAAGAATTTGGTTTGCATTAAGCTATGAGTTGATTATTATCAAAAACCACATCAGACGCTATCTGTGTGTCTACATTACTCTTAATAATCAAGCTCCATCATACATCAGTGATCTGATTGTTCCATACGTTCCTAACCGAGCACTTCGCTCTCAGACTGCAGGTCTACTGGTGGTTCCCAGAATATCTAAACTTAGGATGGGAGGCAGATCTTTTAGTTATCAGGCTCCTCTCCTGTGGAACCAGCTCCCAGCTTTAGTCCGTGAGGCAGACACCTTGTCTACTTTTAAGAATAGGCTTAAAACATTTTTATTTGATAGGGCCTATAGTTAAAATCTGATGTTAGCCTAGATCTGGACAAGTGGGGGAGTAGAGGGAGGTGGAGTGTACAGTCGGTAAAGACGGCTCTCCCTTGCCCTGCCTCCATCTAAATAGGATAGATTATCCAGAGTTATCTCTGTAGTTATGCTGCTATAGGCTTAGACTGCTGGAGGACACACTGACCACTTTTCACACTCTACTACTTTCTTCTACAGTCTGCTCTTTAACTGTATTATTTCCTGCTATTTCAGCTAGCTTACAATTAATGAAAGATTAAATGCTTTGTGGAGTGAAATAAGAGGAATTTCTGGGCCAAACCCATCCTATTTCATAGACATATCTCTGGTATTTATAACAAATCAAACCTTTTCAAAATCAGTTGAAAATTGAGCAAGTTAGATATTTCAATAGTACATGCACCATACACCCCAATGTCAAGAAAGGGGGCAGCTGTCTGAGGTAAGATGGCCGCCAAGCAGAGGCGGTTTTACCATTAGGCTTAGGTCGGCGGCTGCCTGGGGCCCCCTTGTGTTGGGGGGCCCCCTAGCCCTGACTGCCGGCACCCCTCTGTTAATGCCACAATATTCTTATTACCAACCTGTCCCCGCAGACAGGATTGGACATGCGCACTTCTCATTACCATAATTCCTGAACTGTTCAAGATATCATTAAAATTCCAAAAGTGCTGAAAAGATTACAAATGGGGATTTTTGTGCATATACAAGACATTACGGTATCCACCGGGATTCCCTGTCTTGAGCGCATCGAATCACAACACAGATTCAGAGACGTGCTGAGTTTGTCATCCAAAATGCTCCATTTTATAACTTTTGAATGGCTGATCAGATTCAGGAAATTCCAACGGTTCCTAAAAGTACATAAAAGCAGCTTTCCAACGATCTATAGCATGAAGCAATCAGAGTTATGTAAAATTTCACTACGAGGGGAAATCCTGCTGTACAGCCTGGTTGAAACGGAGCGCAGCACCGCTGTGAAAGCGGATAACGGAACGGGGAAGCTAATTAGCATAAAAAGCCAGCATGAAATTATGGAAATGCCTCAAAGAAAATCAACACGATCTATTAGAGTCCCTGAAGGCTTATATCTGAAGACAGTGACCACGAAAAAGGACAGATCTCCGGTGAACCAGGGTATGAATGTTTGTTCAGTCTTTATATTTTATTTTTTTATTTGAACAACCCTCAACTATTTGCTGATTCTAAGATTCAGCTTCATTCCAGCATTATTTATCTTTTTACAATAAATAATTATATTTGCTAAAACTAAAGTTTTTGGTATAGCAGCACGGTGCGCTAGAGCAGCACCCCATGGCAGTGTGAGGTGCGCTGGACTCTGCCTGCAGCTGGAGAGAAACTGCTTCAAGGTCTACCACATCAAATAAAAACGTCTGAAAGTTTACAAAAATAAATGGTCTTAATACAGCTAAAAAATGATACCAAGGTTAAAACTTTTTTAAGAATAGATGCATTACAGTTCAAACTTTAAATTATTCATTCCAAATTGTTTGCCCAGTAATTTTGAAGTTCCTGTTAAGTAATAAATGTAAAAAATTCTAATCCGTTTTTTGCTTTTTTCACTTTTAAGCTGATTTTTAAAGGCTTTAATAGAAATCAATTCAAAATACAAACCATACACTGAAAGCTGAGGTTGTTCTGAAAAAAGGAGAAGGGTTAGAAGAAGAAGAAAATATCATATAGTGCCTCTCAAGATAAAAATCACAAGGCGCTTCACACACTTTGCACTTTTTATTACAATTTTACAGCCATAAGATTAAAAAAATATCAGGCGGCCCTGTTATAATTATGGTCATAAGAGGGTCATTAAGATGCTGATGCACAAACAGGAAGTGATTGGTAGCCATTCCACTCCAATCCAGTTGTTGGCGGTAATGCACCAAATTGTTGTTTGCCAAATGCCATAAGACCACAAATAAGAAGAAGAGAGGCGGGAGCGTTCGTAACAAACTCAAAGCGATAGTCAAAACATGAAGCATAAATGGAGTTATCCTAGTGGCTCCAATAAGAGAAAGAAGCAGCTGGCTTTAAAAAAGCTTTTATTTTCGCTTCTGAAAGTGACGTCATTTTTCGATGTAAACATCATAAGGAAGCTGAAAGGAAAGACAATGGAAAATGTTTAAAGGGAGGAAAACATAGACAAAAAATGGAAAATAAAAAAAAAATAACAAAGGCAAAAGCACAGGAGCGCTGACAGGAAAAAGAAAGCAGAGCAAATATTGAAAGCGCTCAAAAGGAGGGAAATAAAGGAAAAAAGAGGAGGACTAATAAAAAGGGAAAATAACTCGTGTCAGAAAAGGGGAGAGTTTCGCAAATCCAGTTAAAGATAAGATTGTCGAAAATTTAGTGTAAGGGGCCCCATGTCTGTGTTCGCCTTGGGCCCCCAAATTGCTAAATCCGCCTCTGCCGCCATGTTCCTACTTCCATTGGCGAACAACAGGGACGAGGCATCTAGTGTTTATATACGTATCTATGGTGACTTGAACTTTAAGGTCCTGTGCAGATCAGGAAGTTCTCTGAGGAACTGAGAACACCAAATCTAAAACACAAAAGCATGGATGGGATTTTTTTTCTTCCCTTATTTTCTGATATTCTCAGAGACTTTAAGTAGATCAGCTACTTAAAGTGCAATGTTTTTGGTTCTGCACATTTTATTTAGAGTTTCACCCTTCCGTTGTTTTAAAAGTGCTCAGAAGACACATGAGGCTGAAGTTGTAGATGATTATATGTTTAGATTGTCAGAAGTGGGTACATTTTGTATTTGTCCTTTTTGTCGTTTTACCCCGAAAAGAAGAGAGAGAAAAAAAGAATATTTAAAATGAGACCCACGATAAAACACACACAAATGAGAGTGACACCAAATTATGTCACTCTCAGTTTATCAGTGTCATGCTACATAGGGAGCCTTAGTCTCCTCCCTTTTCGGCCGCCCTCTTGTGTACCCGGAAGAACGAAAAAATGAATGCAAGTCAACGGGGCTAAAAACGCCTTTTTCTAATCCACTGTGCCTCACAATTATTAACAATATTAAAGCTCCGATGTATGATTACGTGTGTTAAAATGACGTTATTTATTTATATGAGCGTCGTCGGCGTTCAGAGATCTTCTCATTCCGGTGTGAGAGCAGCAGCTGAACCCGGTAACACCACCAGCAACAGAAGCTGGTAGGTATCCCGACTTTTTAAAAATCAGCTTTGGTGTAAAGTGAAACGCTGTTTATAACATAAAGTTATAAATCCAGGGGGGTGAACTTAGGCAAAGTCAGCTAAATGTTTACATCGGTGAACAGCTGCAAAGAGAACGTAAGCTAACGCTGGTAAGCTAGTTAGCATACCGCTCTCTATGAGCCCCGCTAGATGCGCTACTTCTTCTGATAACTGAACTGGGCATGAACTAGTGGAAGGAATGCTGGAGGAGTTTTGTTTTTGTTTTGATCGCAAAAACAATTTCAGGCTCTACTTTTCCCTTTGTTTAATACTCGTGTCGCTCACTGTTTACACGCTTTTGCCGTCCACCATGGTGGACCCATGTGAGGTGACGTCGGTGCAAAGGGTCAATACAAGCTAGGAATTCTAAAAATATTGCACAGAATCTGTTTTCAGTTCAGTTCACGTAAATCAGTGAGAACGAGGGCATATTTTTATTTCAAACTAAAACAATGTAAGACACATTTTGCAGAATGGGATTTCCAGAGAGACAAAACCAGAAATATCTAAATAAATTAAACCTTGTGATGAAATGAGGGAAATATTTTACCAGTCACAAGTCACTTTAATAACCTGCTGTTTACAACCCGTCATGTTTAGAGCTGTGTAACCATAACCGCCAGATCAACACCACATAGTTGGAGGTGCAAACACTGGTCGCAGTCAACATATGAGGATCACAACAATCCCAGCTGCCACTATAAACATGAGGCCAGTTTCCACTATCAGAACTTCCAGGCAGTTTTACTGAACTTCCACGATATTTCATTAGGCCAGCCAGAAAGGACCACTTTTCAAGGAGCAACAGAGTACCTGCATTGGAGTATGTATACTTGAAAATGGCGCAGTAGAGTCGGTGTGTGGTTGTGTCCTCCTACCTGCCCTTTTTCAAATAAAACTGTTCATTTTACCTGCCAGTCTGCATCCTGTACCTGCTCTCCTGTGTTTGGGCCTGAACCAAACACCGCTTCATGACAAATGTCACAATACCGTATCACCATATTTTATTTATGTCCAATTTATGAAAATAATCCTCAGTTTTAAATGTTATGCTTCATTAGCACCAACTGGCAGAATGGTGGATGTTTGTTGAGATGCGTTGTGGGTAGCATTCAGTGTCTGTGATGCTGAATTTTAATAAAAAAAAATTGAATTTAAATAAGTTAATTGAGTTTGACAGAAGTTTTAAGGAAACAATAATAATAAGAAAAACTTTAAAACATTTAAAACATAACTCAGTGGGGCAGCATAGGGTTGTCCATGATCCACACAGGTACTTTATAGAGGTGAGTCTTATGGGTAATCCTGTGATGAAACCGTGCTTGTGTGTGTTGGAGGAAGTGTTGTGGAAAACTCAGAGAAGTTACTTTCAGTGTAAAGAGGGGGGAGATCATCCGGTTTGACTCCCAGCTGAAATACCAAGAAAAAAGTCACAATGAAAGCAATTAATAAGAAATTCATCACGAAAAGACAAAAAAGCAAAGGGCAAATAAAACATCAGAATCACCTCATTATACGAAGGTGGGGCGTCAAAGTAGGCGTTGGTGCCATACTGCGGGGGTGTTGGGAACTCAACACCATGCAGGTCCTCACTGTCCTGCCGTGAGACACTTCTAGGAAAAGGGATGAAATAGATGGACCTCAGTTGACTTCCCTGCTCCCTGCGCAGGTGTGCCTGCCTCTCTATCTGCACCTCTCGTATCCGACTACACGACCTGCAGAAGCTGGTGCAGAATAACATGAGCAACCCGAACCCCAGGATGCCCAGGAAGACCCTTGGAGTAAAAAAAAACTTTATTTCTTATCTAAATTACATATTGCAATTGCACTTCCATGTGTTTAAATAAAAACAACACAAAATAAAAAGTAACACGGTGGAGAAAATGTAAGTGTCTTACTCTAGAAAAGGAAACTCCAATACCATCCTTTAGGTAAGAGTTTCACAGGTGATGGATCAAAATGAAGCAGAAAGAACCTGTAAGACAAACAGAACACAGAATGTTTCTTATCAGTGAAAAGCTTTCAGAAACTTAAAACCGTTCTCTCCGTGTGACTGAACTTTACAGCTTTTAAACGTTTCCTTATGAGATTTTTTTTGGGTGGGCACATGATGTGAGACGGGATCAGTAAAGAGGCACTTTGTCCTCAGAACCCATAAAGGGTTTGTCCCAGATGTGGAGCAGAAGGGTTTTACAGCCTGTCAACACTTGACATGAAGGGAGTGAGCTTTACGAGAAAACCGCCTGTTCTGGTTGGTGAATTACGCAAAACTGCAGTGATCTCATGTGTTCATCAGTACAGTAATACACAGACTGACAGAACATTCGGTAACACGTCACAATAACCGTCCCTTTATCAGTGTTACAGTTATTAACTATTAAGTGTCCTTAAGGTTAGGACAAAGGGCCTGCTGAGGGGCCTAATGAATTACATAATATCGATAAGCAGTTGTTAATCATTTATTTAATCGTTTCGTAATGATTAATAATACACTAAGTAACGTTAATAAAGGGACCCTTATTGTAAAACGTTACCAAATGTTTAAACTATTTTAGTCTACAAATGTGATTTAGTGACTGAGACAAGAAGTGTAGGTGCTTATTTTGTTTCTTTAATATTCAAACTGAGTATTTAAAAAAAAAATTTTGAAACCAAATTTTGAAAAACTGCAAATAAAAATAAATTAAAACTTACCTGAAAAAAACTTTTTTCCAATTAAAGTATCTTTCCGGAGTTATCTCCTTTCAGAAATTGTGTACGATATTTCAGAAATTCGTAAATATGATTGTCATCATGTAATGTAAGTAATACGTCTTTTTTATGCTAAGCATGCCTCCTGCCCTGTCCTGCAGAACTCCTGCAATAGAAAACTGAGTGTCGACCAGAACTAACCAATAGCGTTAGATTACCGCTTACATGCTTCAAATTTAAGGAATACCTCTGCTGATGCAGAGCTGGTGAACTTTTCACGGACAATAAGTCTCTAAAATATAAATATATGAGAACACAACGTGACATGAGAATAATGCGTGTAAAACAACATGTTTCAGCTCTGTTTGTCGGCTATAGAAGGACATAAATAAACAAGAAACGTGAAAACGCCGTCTTAAAAAAATGGAAGGACAGATTATTTGTGTGATATGCTTGTCAGCCACTAGATGGTGACATCGGATAAGAGAAATACTCCGGAAAGAGACTTTAAGTCTGAATTACAAATCAAATAAAGTTACTTTTTTTGTTTTAGTTTTGCTTTCAAAAAGAAAAATAATTAATTTTCTAAATCGGAAATCTCCATTTTTGCTGTGAAAACCATTTTTGTTTGAAACGAAAGCTAGTTTTGCTAGCTTACTAACCCAGGGTGGTGTTGTTACAATATTTTTATCCTTAATTTATTTATGCCGCTATTTCTTACTTGCCACACATGGAATGCTTTCTCAGTTGGAGGGGAGCGGAGTGACTGTAATATAGACTGGGGTCACTTACGTGACACCAGCCAATGAGGAGAGATCTTTCAGCAATCATAAGAATGTAGACAAAATGTATTTTTTCTTTCATTCTAAAGCAAATTATTTTTATTCAAACAAAATATTTGATTTGCAATTCAGCCTTTAACAGACAACTAAAAGGCTTTTGGGGAAGTCTGTTGTTTTGTTTATTTGTTTTAATTCAATTTTTTGCAGTTGAAAAAAAAAGCTAGTTTTTTTTCTTTGAGGTCCTTTTTAAAATTATTTAATAAACAAACAAAATAAACTCGATACTTCATACATCAAATTTGACGAAGCTTCTGTGGAGCTTCATTCAGGAACCTCTGCAGATCTCTAAATTTAAGTGGGATTTTAACTTTAAATCACATTTTTAAAAATATTCTGCTCAAGTAATACGAGTTGAGCTAACGTTTGAAAAATTGTACTTCACAATTAAAGTGTGAGCTTTACATTTTATTTTTTTACCTTTAGCATGTTACAACACAATAATAATACTGAAGATGATTAATTGCTTATTGTTTTATTTAGATTTCTTTCTGTTTGGTTGCAAAGTTGCTGAACAATGAAACCCACGTGAATTCTCCCGTTTTTGTCTTTTATGATGCTCCTACCGCTAAAAAGTTACTCAGACCATTAAAAACTATTATAAGCTCAAGGTAGTGTGTGTTTCCAGAGGACAAACCAGTAATAAATGTAGGCAACACGTTACAACAAACTTAATGCATTATTAAGCATTAATAAACTGTTAAATAAAGTATTAATAACTGCTTAACCATATTATGTAATGCATTAATAAGCAGCCATCTCCCTGGCCCTTTGTCCTAACCTTAAGGACACTTAATAGTTAATACCAAATATGTTTATTAATGCTTAATAATGCACTAAGTAACATTAATAAAATGACCCTTATTGTAAGGTGTTACCTAAATGTAAATTCATGGTCAAAAATCTAATTACAGCAAACTAACAACCTCCATCACAACCAAGTCTCGTTATTAAAGGTCGAGTTTCTGTGAACAAAACTCATCAAACGCTTTGATCAAAGATCGGAAGGAACTTCACATTTACTGGAAAAAGTGGAGATAATGATTTTCAAAAAGTTTTTAGCACAAAGCTGGAATACTTCTCAGGATGTCACAAACTCTGTGTTCTGAAGTATTTGGGGGGGGTCGGACTCCAATGAAACCAAACAAACCACAGAATAACTAATGAGCGAAGAAGCCGAGGTCAGAATCCCCAGCACACGATCAGATAGGAAGGCAGGCCCGGTCTGTAAATACTGACAGAACAAATAAAACTCCTAATTTGTTCCATTTGGCAGCAGCGTAAATCTGGCGTGAGAATAAAGTTTAGTTCTAACACGAGAGAACGAAAAGAGAAGCTGGATTTGAGGCTCTTACCTTTAGTTGAGTGTGTCTGTCAGGTGTGGAGCTGAAAGGGCAAAATCAGTGGAGCAGAGTGCAGGTTTTATTGTGGGTGAACTGATGAGAGGGGTGTGTGTGTGTGTGTGTGTGTGTGTGTGTGTGTGTGTGTGTGTGTGTGTGTGTGTTCATGCATGGGGAAGAGGCCAAAGCCCGGTGTTTGTCTGACACTAAAACACATCAGGTCAGGTTCAGAGGAATATCTGTGTTGATGGGGAAGGAAATGAAAAAACAAAATATGAATTTCTGCGTTTTGTCGTACGAACAAAAAGTTTTATTAGCTCGTGATTCCAGTTGGAAGAGTTTATGGCTGCATCAAAACATTTAAAGAAACAGCGACGCATTTTACAGAATGGAGGTCACTGGAGGAATAACTGCTGGGAAATCATATTCTGTCTTCTTTTTCATAAATTTATAAAGTTTTTCCAGTCTTTACATCCTTTACTGATCATTGATTTATGATCAACCCCCCTCCCTAATTTCAGCATAATAAATAAATAAAAGCCAGTCGTCTCGGGTAGGGGTCAAAGTTAAAATCAAAGTTTTACACGTCAAAACAAGTTCTTTATTTTATAAAAGACACATACGGTAAACACAAGCTCTGCAGAATGCTGACAGAGAGAGGGGAAACCTGAAAATATTTGTATGTTTAAGCGATTCCAAAATCAGGAAATCTGGTCCCTTACTGGGAAAACCACGCTGACAGGAAAGTGCAGTCACAAAGGTTGCATCAGGAAAATCCGTGATGGAAAAGAAGTCTAGTAAAAAAACACAAAAATGTTGAATAACTTTTATTCATCAGATATTTTTCTCAAGATTTCCTGACTGACTTTCCGAATGAAAACAGCAGCATGAACAGGATTTCTGTTGTTGGTCGGTGAGGTTTTTACCGGATCTCTCAAGCTTTTCTGGAACCTTCAGAATAAATCTGCTCTACTGCACACGAGATGCTACCGCTGCTCCTAAAGACCAAAAACTTTTTCATTTAACTGAATTTCTTCATCAGCAGTCAGCATTCACAGCTGTGCTGAGAGTTTTAACACATTTCACACCGAGGCTGCAGAAAGGTCTCAATAAAACGTTCGGATGTCCGCCGTCGTAAACGCGTGATTCTCTCACATCCTCAGACGTTCTTCCTCTTAATAAAGTGATTTATATGACATTCTGTGTTTTTGCTGGTAGGAAAAGATTAGAAGAATCTGTTGTAAAGTGATTTCTTTACTTTTGCTTAATTTATATCACAACACTTACATTCTTTTACATCTGTAAAAATGCAGCATAAATCCAAAATTTCCTTACAAGAACTCACACACACACACACACACACACACACACACACACACACACACACACACACACACACACACACACACACACACACACACACACACACACACACACACACACACACACACACACACACACACACACACACACACACACACACTCCTACCAACGAGCTGAAAAATTCAGACACCACATCTTTTAGGCCACTGATTAAAGACCTTTCATTAAGTGCACCCCACACAAAGAACAACCTAATTAAATTCTCGAATACTGAGAATTTATTATGATTAATATTATTTTGTTGTGGACAGAAAATGCAGAGTTCTGCATCACTGGGTCTTGTAATTCATCTTTAAACACGGAAGGACCGGAGTTGTATTTTGTGTCGGAGTTCAGCCAAACGCTCAAACCTGAGCCGGCTCAGAACCAGTGCTGGATTAAAGATAAGTGAGGGTCTCATCCTGGGATTATAAATCCTCGTGAGTTGCCCTGCGGCTGCGTTTGTTCAGCCAGGACTGCAGCAGAGGAAGGTTTGTGTCCGTCCAGCGGATGTTATCCTCGATGGTCTCGTAGGTCTGCTGGATGCACCTCATCTTTGATCCCGTCTCCTCGGTCAGCGAGTCGAAGAAACTTCGAATCTGAGCAAAGCAAAAGATCCAAAAATGAACATTTATCTTCTGGTGAAATCAGAAAAAATTGATTCTAAACTTTTGATCTAAAACTATCTCTAAACAGGTCAGACTGATTATCATCATAAAAAAACGTTAAAAAGCTTAACATGCTAATCTAACCGTAAAAAGTTCTCTTTGTGTTTATTATGACGAATCTCCCTGAAGCACGAATGAGCCTGAAAAGGCGTCACTTACCTCCTGAAGCATCTCTCTGGTGGAGTACTGGTTGGTCACCCCAGTCACCATGTAGGATAAGGCGTTGGAGCCGAGGTCAAACCCCTGTTTAACACAATTTTAGGAAGCTTTTTAAATCATCTTGATCCGAAAAATAGGAAATGTTCTGAATTGTTAGATACAAACTCACAGAATTATACATGATTTGTGTAAATATTGAATTTATTACGCAAATCATCCATTTAAAGATGTTCAATAGTTAAAGGGGTCCTAGAACATTTTTTTACAATTGGAAACTGTTCTATGAGTAGGGCTGGGACGACATTCAATAAATCAATTAATTGTTTAATAGATGAAAAATAACTAAATTATTTTTCCAGCCTTGATATTTCGGTATTCGTCAGACACGCGACCTGCGTCACTTACAGGAATAAAATTGTGAAGGAGGCTAAAGATCAGTTAGAGATTTCTAACAATTCTGTTTAATTTGTTTGTTAGTTTTATTTATTTAGAAGTTCTGGTTCTGGACGATGATGAATAAAGGTTTAATTGTTGCATTTTAAAGGGCGTGCTGGCATTATTATGATATATTAACATTAACGTGGTTTTAAATTCTGAGACACCTTGAAACGACTGTTTAAATGTTTGGTTTGTTTAACAGACACGAGAATAAACCCTCATCATGAACTGTGGCTGAAACGCACTTCTTCACCAGGGTGACCCAACTGGCTCGGAGGAAGTCCCAGGCCAGCTTGTAGCCGCGAGGGTTTTTGGCAACGGACACAACCACGTCTGGGAGGTCCTGAGTCTTCATCACCTCACCGTGGAGACTTTGCTCCATCATCCTGCAGACAGAACACAGAGAGGATGACAAAGCGGTCAGTTTAAGTAGAATGTGCTGATGTGTGCAGCGCTCACCACTGGAGTTTGTCCTGCAGCGGGCTGATAGCCATGGCGCTTTTATAGCGGCTCTTCAGCGACATCTGCAGCGAGTTGTGGTACTTCTCAAACAGGAAGTCCCACCCCTCTGGTGTGCGAGCTCCGATCACAAACACAGCCATTGAGACATCGACAGGGAGGCTAAAAAGGTGAGGAAGGATTCCTTTTGATAAAACCATAACCAACTTCACATTTAAATCCTGCCAAACACCACAGGTGGACCGTGACCTCTGACCTCACGGTGCCGTCAGACTCCTTCCACTGGCTGAAGAGCTGGATGGCTTTCCTCACACAGGGTTCGTAGTTCATGAAGCAGGCAAACAGCAGCAGGTAACTCCTCAGAACACGCTCGGAGACAGAACCAGAGTCGCTCCACTGCTGCCGATCGATCAGATCCCGGAACAGCTCTACGATGTAACCCTGAAGCACACACACAGAATCAAATCAGCATGGAGGGTAGCCGATCACACATGACCAACTGTTAACTGGTTTCAACTCATAAAAATTAAAGAAATGTTCATGATGTCATCATCTTGACTGTACTGCATGATGTAGATGTGTTATTATCGGTCCTCTGAAAGGCCTTGAAGGTTGTCTCACTTTCATCTGCTTCTCCAGCACCGTCATGTCTCTCTTTTCCATCAGCTTGTAGAGAGGAACAAGCTCTCCAAAGCCCCGAGTCACAGCCATGATCTCGGTCTCGTTGGACAGGTACAGAGACAGCTCCAGGGCCGTGTCCAGGCTCACCTTCCCAACACTACAACACCGAGAACAAGCTTCGGATCAGAACACCACTAGACAGGAGTTCATTCTGCACAGAAACCAGAGGATTGAACATCAAAAGAAAAAGTAACCAAGTCACCTTTTTATCCAGCTTTGGGAAACAATTCAGATTAAGTTGCTAAACCCACATGAAGCTGTTCTGTGAGCTTCTATTTAGCAGAAGAAATTTTGTTGGGGCACAAAATGGCCCAGGAGCCCTGATAAATGCCCAAACATGAATCTCAAGCTATGGATCTATCTGCCATCCATTCAGACTGGACATTCCCAGTACATCCTGGAACGTTACATGTGTGCTTCAGCCTTTGTCTTTGTCATTTTCCTCTGGTCCAACAAGGACATTACCAGGAGTTTGGGCTAGCTTTAGTAGTAGCTTGGGCTAAAGTTAGCAGTAGCATACCGTGACCTAGGGCTGCTCAATTAAGCAAATTTGAATCACAATTACGATCTGAGTTTTGAACAATTATAAAAACAAAAACAAGCCGATTATTTGCTCCTCCCTCTTGCGCTGCCCCGAGGTGCAAATCAAGTGCAACTACCACGGTGTTGCCAACTTAGTGACTTTGTCGCTATTTCCAACAGCTTTTCAGACCCTCTTCTTGACATTTTAAATCCTAAAAGTACCTAGAAACATTTCTGGTAACCCTGAGCTACTTTCTGGATAACCGTCGTCGACATTTCTTGCAGGCTAGCAAAACACTCAGCCTGCGCTCCGGACCGTCCTTCCAGAAATTAGGAAAGGTAATGACGTAGTGATGTGTCGGTCACGAACGAAACAGCTCTCAGGCCTAGCTCCCTTTTGGATTAGCCGGAGTGAGTAACACACTAAACCAGCAGCCTCCTCAGCTGCTTAAAAACAGCAAACAGACACACACACACACACGCATGCGTGCAGATTGCCCCCGCTTGCTGTGAGACCGGGTTGGGGAGTGGGGGAATTGCAGTGCAGTCTGTTACAACATTACTCATATATACACATATATATACATATATATATATATATGTATATATATATGTATATATACATATATATATACATATATATATATATATACATGTATATATACATGTATATATATATATATGTATATATATATGTATATATATATAGGAAAGCAGGTTGAAGACGGGACAGACTTTTTAGCACATTTTACACCCCAAGCTGTCTTTACAAACAACAAAAAGGGAAATGTGGTTTTAAATTCAAGGACACCTTTGAAGTGTAGACGTGGAAAACCGACCTGACCAGCTGGAAGACGTTCTGGATCAGACTGGCTCGGTCGTTCCCAGACAGAGCCTTGTGGTTGTGCTGCAACAGCTTGATAATGGAGTTCCAGCCGTCGCCTGCATAGTGGACCATGTAGTAACCGCTCATGTTAACGTTGAACTTCACCCACTCCACCTCCTCTGGCAGGTACAGGACATCTGAATGGTGGGGGACAAACAGCAGCGTTCACACGAGGGGAATGAGATGGATCAGAGTCTGGGCGTTAGGTTCGAAATTAAATCAATACTCACCGCTCTTGGTTTTGAGGAGGAAACGGTGGATGGTGTTGGAGGCGCTGGTCATGTACGTTAGTGGAATCTGCCACAAGAATCTTAAAAACAAAATTTAGAGAAAGATTAAAGGTACCAGAGGATCTAAAAAGGTGCAAACAATAATGTCCGTCTTTCTAAACGAAGCGTCTGATATCCACTTTGCATTTCGTACCCTTCAGTGAGGGAGTGGTCATCTGTCCTCAGGAAACGCTCCTGAGAGAGTCGAACCTCCCGACCTTTCACCTCCACAGTAACCAGTGGGAAGCCCTCCTGCAGAGTCCAGGTGTCCATGATGGCCCTGACATCCAGCTCGTCATCAGAGTACCACTTCTGGACATGAGTGCCCACGTCACACGATGAGCTTCACACATCATCACCTGTTAACTGTACAATTAGAAGTGTGGCAGCAGCCAGGTCTCACCGAGGTTCCTGACTGAAGTTTACGTCTGGAGCAGAATTCAAAGTGTTTCATTCGGCCTTCGTCCAAATCGTCCGAGCTGCAGAGCTGAAGACAACAAATGAAAACTTTCACAGAGGAAATTAAATTTAAAAAAGCACGGGGAAAGCTGGAGGAGGAGCCAGTGGAGGTGGCTCGGGCATCTGGTCAGGATGCCTCCTGGACGCCTCCCTGGTGAGGTTTTCCGGGCACGTCCAACCGGGAGGAGACCTAAAGGTAGACCCAGGACACGGTGGAGGGACTACGTCTCTCACCTGGCCAGGGAACGCCTTGGGATTCCCCCGGAGGAGCTGGCCCAAGTGGCTGGGGAGAGGAAAGTCTGGGCCTCGACTTAAGCTACTGCCCCCGTGACCCGACTCCGGAAGAAAATGGATGGATGAATGAATGAACGAACGGACGGACGGACGGATGGATGGACGGATGGATGGATGGATGGATGGAAAAAAGACATGGCTTCATTGTTGCATCAAAATAATATAGAAGCTGAAGCGCTGGTCCTTTAGGATGAGCAGAGGAATGAGCTTCTCTTCTGCTTTAGTTATGTCTCTGCAGCTATGCTGTCATACAAAACTGGTTGTGCTGCAAAGGTTTAGTGTTTGCATGCATTGCTGTTATTATGTCAAAGAAGACATATTATGACTTTTTTCTTAAGTTATAATAGTTCTGTGGTTGATTCAAACATTTTTTTTCTCTGTACTAAATCTGCATCAAATTAAGATGTTTGAGCAGTTTTAATTCTTGACATTTTCAGTACCTTCCAGAATGAGCTGTTTCAGGACTCTGTCACTTTGAGAAAAAAAGCTGGAGTTGGCAACGCCCACCCATCCCCATTCAGGCTACTATAAGCTGAGAAGCTCCGATATCCAGGAGGAGCTCAGAGTAGAGCAGCTGCAGGTGGCTCTATGCTAAAAAAATGTTTTGACATGGCAAAAAGGCACGGTTCTGGAAACCAAACACTGGCAGAAATATTTTCACGTTTAGTTTATTGAGCCACCAGAGCACCAAAGGTGCATTATGCTTAATATGGCCCCCTTAAGCCTAATTTATACTTCTCCGTCAGCTCCACGAGGGAGACACGCACGCACGCACGGACGGAGACATTTTGTCGTCATACTTCTACGTCTCCTGGGGAGTATTGCAAAACAATTCCCCGGCATGACAGCAGAGGGCGTAGCGCTGTTGTGTGGTATCCTGTCATGCATCCGGTTCAAGATGGTGTGTTTATATTCTGGGTTTTTTTTTGTATTTAAGAGACTTTTTAACACGGACAAATTTGTCCCTCATTCTCCTCCATCTCTTCATGCACTCGCCACCTCTAAACCCGCGTTTCCCATCATTTGCATCCACCAATAAAATTCTTGCATGCTTTTCTCTCCTCCAGTCACGGCTGAATAAAACGTTCATATTTCAGAGTTTTTCCGTGAGGTGTTCTTCAAGCTGCTCCGTGTCTGCAGCTAAATATCCTCAGCTCTCTTTGTTTTTGAAGGCGCAATGGCGGCGGTGCAGACGACAGCGGTGTCCTGACCAATCACAAGCTTGCGTTCTCCGTCTCGATGGACGGATGTTTAGAAAAGAGAGCCCGACTCTGTCCATCCTTGGGAGGGCTCTCCAGCAGGCTCGCAAGGACGGATAATGGCGTTGCGTGCGTCCGTCCCGACGCAGACGGAGAAGTATAATTTAGGCTTTAGATTAGATTAGTTGTAACTTTCCTGTCACGTTAAAGTGTTTCTGTATCAAAGTTATAATTATTATGCAATAGGGATGTAAGAACATATCAATACAATGAAATATTGCAAGTTTTTTGGATACTGCGTTGGTATTTAAAACCAGGTTATCGACTTATTTTTGAGGGTTTACATCACCGGTGTCACACTCCGGTCCTCAAAGGCGGCTATCCCACATGTTTTAGTGTTTTCCCTGTTTCAACACACCTGATTCCAATCAGCAGGTGATTAACAGGCTTGATGAGCTGCCACACAGGTTAGTCGGCTGTGTTGGAACAGGGAAACAACAAAAAGATGCAGGATAACGATCCTCGAGGAAAACATTTACTCTATTTTTGTGTCGTGCAATTCAAACTCTGGCAGCTAGGTGGCAGCAGTTTTTACTGCCTTGTAAATTTAACGATAACACTGGATGTGCATTAGATGCCTCAGGCCTGAGTTTTCCAATTAAATTCAGTCTTAAAATGTGCAAATATCGTCGTATTTTAGTATCACAACGTGTTGAGTTGTCTCCCTTGTATCGTGATGTAACAAATCGCCAGATAACACACGTCCCTAATACGTAGCTCTTTATAGCTTCCAAAATAGCCTCACCTCTGGGAGTAACTTGTGTCCAACAGGACATAAAATGGCTCCAATCTCTGACCTTTCTAAGCAGTTCATGCAACTCTATTAATTTTCTGTTATTTGCTTATTTCAACTGAAATTTTACGATATTTCGGCCCGATCTGGCCTCTGGATTCACCTAAAGGGTAAGCTCTGTTGCTGCTGGTGGCCAGTTCTCAAACGTTCATTCTTGCAGTCGTTCAAAGTGCCAAAGCAAACAAAGCAAACCCGCTCATCACTCACATCCGTCAGACTCTCCCACAGGTGGCTGTTCACGGTGTTCTGGTAGCTGTAGCGCTTTAGATATCGGATGATGCCGATCTCAAACGCCTCCGGGGTGAGGAAGTCTCGTAGCATGTTCAGAATGCACGCTCCCTGAAACGAAATGAAGGATTTTCATTTAACTGGTTGTAGTTTGTAGTCATCTAAAGTTTGGCCAGACAGAGCGATGCTGACCTTGTCATACGACACGTCATCAAACATCTCCTGGATCTGTGTGGGGTTTTCTACAGGGGTGGAGACCGGGTGGGAGGAGCTAAGGGAATCCACCTCCATAGCCTCAAAACATTTGTTCAAGAAGAAGTCGTCCTGAAAAAAAGAACAGGAGTTCATTTGCCCAACCAACTTTCATCCAAAACAATAAAGCATGGCAGCTCATCCATGGGGGCGCCGCCCTGCCTGACTGGAAGGGAGACAAGAAAACCCAGAAAATAAAATACATCTTCATACATTTACTATAAATGTGCTTAATCGTCCTTTACAATGTCCATTATGTCCTCTTTTTAAATATTAAACGAGGTTCTTTTAGCTTTGAGCATGAAGGTGTTTCGAGTTACCTTTGCATGCTTCGACTGTCGTCTGCGGCCTTCATCTTGATGCTAAAGCTAAGCTAAAAGAACCTCGTTTAATATGTGCTTAATCGTGTGTGCATACATGCAATCTGAATGATTTACTCATCATTTTCATCAGCTGTCTCTCAAACAGAAGTTCCTCCACCAGACTCACTAGCTTCACTCCAGGGGCGCTGGGAAAAGCGACCCTGAACTGCAGCTAAACAGTCAATCACATTTGGTTGCTAGGCAGAACTGGAGAATTTTAGGCGAATCAGCGTCCATGAATTTAATGTCCCCACAGCGCTGGCCGACAGTGCTCTGGTGTAGAAAACAACTAGCTAGCACGCTAGAATCATAGCCGTTGCTGTAAATTGTGTTTATTTGTTCTCATTTTACGGGATTATACTGTTTAAAACTGTTGATCTAATTCAGTTTGTATGTCGTGTTACTGCCACCTACTGACCAAAGTGAGTAATTAGCTTTGAGCAGATGACTGAGACACAGGATTAACAACAGCAGTTGCTCCTAAAGGCTCACACAGGCTTGTGTATTCATTTGAATATAACCCCAAAATTCCACTATCTCCGCTCCGCCCCCGCCCTCCGCAGCCGCTCGCTTCCGAACTCAAATCATACTGGTACCCGCTCTACAACGGCTCCGCTCCGGTGCGGAGACCTGAGGTGTGCAAACAGGCATGAGCGGGATTTTCGAGATCTTGCGATACAGTCTGAGCAATAAACGCGGAAGTTAGATCCAAACACCCGTTGTGTGGGAGAAGCATCGACATGAACCGTTTAATCTGCCCATCATTTGTGTTGAGAGGTCAGCAGTGTTTGGATCAACAAGGTGTGACTACTTTGATAGTAGAAACTGTATTTATGGCTTACTTTTGTGCATTTAAACTTCAGCCGCCATTGACAGTTGTTAAAGGTTGTTAAACCTGTGCGTATGAAACAAAAAACGCTTTTTGTTTATCGATTTATTGTGAAAAACGGAAGTTGTGCTTGCTCCTTTTCCTGTTGGGCGGTTGTGATTTCTGTCCATTGACTGCGGAGGTGCTCTGCCATCCGGCGAAAATAGGATCGATCCTATTTTTGCCGGATGGCGGAACGGCGGGCACGGCCGCAGTAGTGGAACAGCTCTGATTGACTACAACGGGACCGATTTTGCTGCGGAGTTCGTGCCGGAGCGGAGATGGTGGAATTTCAGTGTTGCAGTTATAGTCTACCCACCTGTAAATATGAAAATTCACTTTTGTAACGCTGAGGGAAATAGTTGTTTGTTTTGGAATTGTAGGCCGTGTTCAACTGCTCATTTTAATACTTAATATGGAATGAGAAGAGAATTTTTCACATGCAGCCCCCACCCAGAGGTTCTTTCCACTGACCGCCACTGCGAGAAAGAACGATTAAAAACGAGGGATTCTGTGTTCATCTCTCACCACGTGCAGCTCTGGGTAGGTGATGTCCAGGGAAATAAACTCCATGAACTTGGCAAAACCCTCGTTCAGCCACAAGTCGTTCCACCACTCCATCGTCACCAGGTTTCCGAACCACTAAGCCCATTTGAAAACAACAAAAAAATGACGGCTGTATCCTGATATTTCTCTTTCTTTTTCAGAAATCCAGCTACCTGGTGTGCGAGCTCATGAGCGATAACCTTGGTGATGGACAGCTTGTCGGAGGCGGAGGACTTATCGGGGTCAAAGAGGAGGCCGGTCTCTCTGTAGGTGGTCAGGCCCCAGTTCTCCATCGCACCGGACTGGAAATCAGGAATAGCTGCCAGGTCTGCAGGGAAAAACACAAACCAGCGAATCCTTTAAATCTGAAGACATGTTCTTGCTGTGTGACCAAAAACATGCTGATAGAAGGTTTACTTTACAAACCCTGTTTGGGAAGAGGGTAGGGAATGTCAAAATAATCGTCATAGAAGTCCAACAACTTGACTGCAGCATCCAGAGCAAAGGCGGTCTGGTTGATCCTCTCTGGAACGGCGTAAATGGAAATCTGATGGGAATGAGTAAAAAAAAGGAATTAAAAATAACACTGTGGTCCTTCAAAATAAAGTCTTATGCTGATGTTTCTAAATTTAAAACTTCTCTATGCACCAACTGTGTTCAGGTGAAAAGATAAAACTTGAACCAGACGCGTAGCTCACCTTGACGCCGTGCTGCGTGGTCCGGCTCACAGACAGGAAGTCGGACACGATGTAGGCCACCAGGTACGTGCTCATTTTTACAGTCGTGTCAAAGTGATCCTCGAGCAGATCACCGGGCAGCACAACCGTTTTAACCTGTGAGACGATCAAAACAAAGATGCACTTTAGAGTTACTCATGTTGGCGCTGAGGAGTAAAACACGAGCTTAACAAAAGCACGTCTACGTGGAGGTGCGGATCCCATCCAGACTGCCGGTCTGAGGGCAGCAGAGTGATGAGGCCTTGTGTACCTTAGGCATGTTGGAAACGGCGATGTGGCGCGGCTCTCGTATAATCTGTACGGTGAAGTTGGCTTTAAAGGCGGGCTCATCAAAACAGGGGAAGGCTCCTCGAGCGAACGTTGCCTCAAACTGGGTGGACGCCAGAGTCCTGAGCGAAGGAAGGCAGGTGAGGATGTTAGGATTTATTTGAAGGTTTAAACTTTGAAAAGGCCAGGTGTAGTGGTCTTACCGGACCTCCCCACTGCTGGTGCGGTAGCTGCTTTTGTAAAAACCGTGAAAGCTGTCCGACAGGTTGGCAGCAAACTCCAGCTGGACCTCGTACTTCCTGCCTTTGGTCAGCACAGAGTCTGACATCAGAGCCAGCTGATGGAAACCAGGATACTCCAACACCTTCAGGGGCCTGGCGCCTTCAGGGGCCAGGAGAAGCACATTGGATATCTCCATCTGCTTGGCGTGGAGGATCACAGCGCTGGTGTCTTCGTGGACATCCAGGCTGATCCGGACCACACCGGTGAAGTCCTGGGTGGTGAGGTTCGGGTGGATGGTCAGGTCGTAGTGCAGGGGGCTGATGGTTTGGGGGAGTCTCATTTGGTCCCAAGGGAAGCGCTCACCATTAGTGGCTATGGGGGGGTGCTTGGGTTGGCCTTGGTTTGGGATCTGAGCTCCAGGTGAGGGAGGGAGGAGAACACAGAGAACCAACAGGAGGCCAAACATGGTGGAAAAGAGCACCTGCAACACAAAACAGCTGCTATTCAATCGGATTTTTCATTGATTTGCTTTTACTAAAAAACAGCATCTACTAGCAGAAATGCAGCTTTTCTACGGCAATGAAAGAACGGCAAACATGAAATGAATCAACACTTTCGCTTCCGCACAATTTCCGTTCCTCTGGACACAAATCCTATTAGACTCATTCTAAACTGATTCTGCTGACTCATGTTCTGAATGTCCGCCCGGAACCATACAAAACATGTTAAAACCTTTATTTTACCGGAACGTCTTTAGCACGCAGCTCGTCGGGGTTGAAAGTGAAACAGAAAGAGGAGGAATGGGAGAAATCTGATCAGAGGACGTCTGTCAGAAGTTCCGTCTGGACCGACAGCTGTTCAACATCACCGTTAAATAGAATAAAAATAGAGTCTTTGGTCGTTTCTGCAGCTTAAAAACACACATTTCATGAACTTATTATCAAATGTACTTTTCACGAACAAACAGAAGCACAGTTACAAGTTACAGACTGAAGCAAAGGCGACATGTTTAACGGGGACGCTACCAGGAAGTTCCGCTCGATTGTTGTGGTTGTACTGCGGTTGACCACCAGATGGCGCCCTTTCTCACAGTAGTCTTTAAATAATCTTTATTGCAATTGTCAAAGTTACAAAAGCACAAAGAGCGTCCCAACCAACCAAGAACAGACGTTCACAACTAAAGTTCGGTAATAAATAACATTAGGTTTGAAGCAAGATTTTACTTTTATCTGCTTTCATATTATTGCAACGTTACAAAACTGTTTCATAGTTTAAACACGAGAGAAAAAACCGACAGGAGAAAATTTGGATTTACAAACATTTTATTTTGCAGATAAATCAGGAGACATTTGTTTGCTTGATGCTTTGGTATAGGCCTGTTTATTCGTCTAAAGAGCCAGATGTCATAAGGTAAAGAGAAATCAGAACAAATTAAGAGGAAAACTAAATGACCAAAATGTCATCGGGAAAAAAAACAACAACAAAAAAACAACAAAAAGCACCATTTTAAAAAAAGGTCAACCAGTTTAATAGTAAAACACCTCGATTTTTTTTAAATAACTCAGGAAATGAATGTGTTTTTGATAGGTATATCCCCACCTACTTTTAATCTGCATTTAAAATATTATAAATATGTCATTGAGATTTTTTCATCATCTGAAGTTTTCCGAAACAAAAAGTTTTCTCAAACAAACAAAACAACAACTTTAAAAAATGTCTTCTACCCTCCTTGATGTTGAGCTCTGGCTCTTATAAAGGTATTTTATATATTTTAAAATGAATTTTTATCACTTTCTAAGGAAAATAAGATATCTAGGTTAATGAGTAGTTTGCATAATGTAATAAAGTAAAACTGATAAGTAATCAAAGCAAATAGGATAAAAAGATGAAATTATTCAGATTAGTGATCAGTTCAGAATGTCACACATCCGATTTAAAGACGATCCTTTTATCAGACGTTGGAACAGAAAAGAGCTAGAATACTTTAAAATGATTTAGAATCAGGATATTTTAAATGAGATCACATGAATACACTCAAAGATTCAGAAAGGGGTCTTTTTGTTTTTACAAAAGTTTTCATTAAGTATAAAACTGACCCAGTTCTGAGCTCTGAACTAATTCATTCCTTTTTCTTGACCTT